AAGGTGACACGGCTGAGGACGCTCGGCGTTACTCATCAGCTTTGTACAGGACACACAGCACAGCAGGAAGCGAACAGATAAGTGAGGGGATTTGAGTAATAGAGATTTTAAAGTGGGAGTCGCCAGAAGCGGCGTGACTCGAGGGGTGCTGAGGTTGGACTAACGGTCACTTTAGTACTTCTATCCAGATGGAAATCTCTGAAACATTCCTGGTCCCCTGGGGATTAAAACACACCGTCAACAGCAAATGAAAAGGAAACTGCAGAGGTGTCTAAGCTCTTGGCATGATGTGATAAATGTCAATGTTGACCACAGGAAGGAAGTTAAACCAGAAACATTAAGGAAACCGTGGAATAATGCGTTCCACCCATCGGTGGAGATGATACGTGATGCTAACAAACGTTGCTTTTGTGCACCTGCCTTACTGACACGTACTTGTTGTTGTATCATCTAGAAATGGAGGACGTGCACGTCGCTCATTCAGCTGATGAAGTGTTGAACGTATCAGTATTGTGTCTCCCGGTGGCATCAAAAGTCACAACCCAAGTGAAGCTGCCAAAGGCCTTTTTAAGGGTCCATTAACATAAGAAGACGCAGTGCAATTTGTTTTTGTCATGGGAAGTCGAGTGCAACAATTTCCCAAATGATTGTGTCAAACATGTGGCCGAGCGAGTGAGTGTGGGAAAGTAACGGAGGCGAATTGGTGAGCGTGCACGAATGATTGTTGGTGTGTGTTTATTTGCTTGTGAAAGAATACCCAGGGGCGACCACATTGATTCCCACCCTCTCTTGCTGTACCCCCAGATACACATTTTACAGCCACATTCCTCCACTACGGCGCACGGCGGCGGCTGCCCCGCGGCACGCCCGCCCTAACAGCGAAGCACAGGAGGAGGTCACAGGGAGGGGGGGGGGGGGGCACCCCATTACTCTGAGAGACAAATAGGCCATCCAAATAAAACACGACACCCCGAGTACCGAACCTGAATGCAAAAGCTGGACGACTGGCTGTGCACACACGGCTCGTACAACGTTTTAACTCACACATTCCTGTTCGCAGGTTTTTACAAGGACTCTGTTTTTGAATCGTACGCTCCGAGGTTCTATTTGTTGGTCTTTCATTATGATAACCTGCACATGTAGCCGGCTGTGATTCAACTTTATTTTTGTTTTTTAAGAGGCTTTTCTAGAAAGCCCACCTTGCTTTTTTTTTTTTTTGTTGCATCTTGTCTTGTGTCGTGTGTCAGCTGGGCCACTCTGCCTCAGAGACCTTCCATTGAAGCATGTCAAGCATTTCATGCAAACACTTAGGGAGTTGTGTTTTTCAGCAAACAAGTCCAGTGGGGTTGAACGGAGACTTGACGCTGCTTGAACCAGAGTGCCAGTTGTGACAGGGGACACTTTTGTGCGTTACGGAGTGTAGCGCAGTTGTTTTGTTGCTAACTTTAACAAGGCGACTAAACAACGGGCCCTGCTGCCATCATCTCGTGCACACGCGCGTGGTCTGGATTGACGGGTTCAATCTTACAAGAGGAAACCATAATGCAGAAGTGCGGGTGGTCTTTGCCTTGTAAGGAGCCTACGTGATGATTTCTATGTCTGAAACAATCACATGATTCACTCAGCTACGATGTTGCTAAGAGCTTGTGTTGAAAACATTGGACAGTGGATGTGGCAACAGCACCGCTCAGGACTTCCACCCCTTTCGTGACAAATCTGTCATCCAGCGTGCAGTGCCTCAGACTGGCCGCAGCGTCACACAACACCTCGCCACCTTTTCCTCCTTGTACATGGGGAATGTTACAGAGGCGAGGAGGGAAAGCGCAGCCTATAGGAACACGGCGTGTGTTTGTGTTTGTGTGTGTGCGTAACGGAAAGTGTAGGCACTGGCCGAAACAGGAAGCCTAGAGAGGCTTTTACATTGGAGGAATTTCCTGCCTGTAAGATGTGTATCGCTGGGTTTTCTACGGTTAAGGGGAAACGCGAGAGGGGGGAAGAGAAGGAAAGTTTGCTCTGTGTTTAAGGAGGCATTCCATGGCAGGTTTCAGGCTTACTGTTTAGATAAAAGCCGGTTTGGATCTAAGCCTCATTAGTCCATTCTTCTCAAAGACTAATGCTGTGCATAGGAACTGCCCCCTTGATCAGAAACCACGTTTTTCCATCGTTCCCTTCAATTTTCATGCTCAACAAGATATTTGATCCACAACTAAGTCACAAATCCAATACATCCGAAATTAACTGGCCTAAACGGGAAATGTTAAATTCGCCTCGCTGTTCTCACTGTTGACTTGGCTCTATACAAACTATAGTATAGTCAAGTTGCCTGTTGTGACCATTTATATGCCGTCTGTTCCCGAGTGGTAAATGGTGTTTATTCAGAGACTTAAAACACTGGCAGTTGCCTAACGGCAGCCATCAGGGTGTCTCGCCACCCGGCTCCCGTGGAGAACAACGGTGTCAGCTCACTGTGTGTGCTACAAAGAGAATAGACATGCAGGGGTCGGTGCCTTGGGGGCCAATGGCGATCATTTGAAAGTGGTAGTTAGATGCCGTGATGGTTTGCTGAATTGGAGTCACAGACCACACCTTTATTTTGAAGTTTGAAAGGAATAGTTTGGCATTTGAGGATAGGACTTTGATAAGACTACTGTCAACAGCCACAAACAAATACAGATTTTTCCATAAAAAAAAAAGAATTCAGAATATATAAATTTAATATAGAAAGTTTGCTCTATGTTCTGCATGTAATCAGGTGAAGACTTCTGGGTCAGAGTGCAAACAGAGATTTGCCATTCTAATTGTTATAAAATGGATTCTAAAAATGAAACAGTTTGAAACTGATAAATGGAGAAACAGATACATGTAGTACTGTTCAAACTAAACTGTTAAGAGTTAGGAGATGGTTAGCGTAGCTTAGCATAAAGATCGAAAGCAGGGTGAAACAGCTGAAGCGAGGCTGAAAAGCAGTTGCATGAAAACAGTGAACTCACACCTTAGTATCTTGATATAACTTCTACGAAAGGGCCACTAAGTGGCCTCTGGGAAATGCTATTTATAATCTGTGAGAAAGCAAATTGCTCACTTATGAACAGAGAGAGTGAATGTGTGCATGTGCCTGTACATTTAAATGCCTGGCTTTGCTGAAGTACTAATGTGTCAGGTCTATATTTAGAACAGTCGGCGTGCACCGTAGAGTCCTGTCAAATGTTTTAAAAGTGTTTTGCTGCACTTCAGATCTGTTGCCATAGCGGCCAAACGATGAGGGCGAAGTAGAGGCATTGGAATAAAACCACTCCCCCCACCCACCCCCCCCACCCCCTTTCTCAACAGAAATCCCAGTCAGAGTGAGACGGAAAATACTGTTCAGTTAGCCAGACCCAATTCTGCGTCACCAAAAGCGGAACAGGCTCTCTGTTTTTTTTTAGTACACCGGCTTGTAGGTTAAGGGGCTTCTGCATGACAGAGAGAGAGAGAGAGAGAAGGGGGCAAAAACACTTGAAAGGAATATTTCTCCTATCTCCTGGCAAATCCTGATTCTTTACGTTGTCAAATAGATAACTGTGGGTGGACAGACAGGATTCAATCTGTGCCGTTCAATCAGGCTTTAAAGAAGACAAAGACAGAGCTGATACCGGGATTATCAATGAATCAAAGTGTTTGCTCGCCCCCTTCAACTATCCCCATGCACGAGGTCTGTATGTAAATGACTATGTGGCCACAGTGGCTAAAGTTAGTCACCGCGTTCCACAGTGCACGCTGCAAGGACCAGGCCTAGTGCATGCTAGTTATGAAGCGCACAAACACACTAGGCGTGTATTTATCTTATCGGTAGCACCGTTATCGGACGAGAAGGGGAGTGACAAATTGTTGGTATTTGGCTCCCTGGGGAAAAGGACACTCTATATATATACGGCCCTGCTGTGATGGCCAAAGGCATCAGAATGTCAGAAGTTTGATTGTGGCAGATTACACAAACACCCACTCATCTGACAGTTTGCATGTGACGGGGATTCTGAAAACCAAACCGTGACTTCAGAGGGAGAGGTTCGTCTCCAAATAACGTCGACGGCCACATATTGTCTGGCGTTCTGTCAACTCGACTCATCCCGAGGGCCTAAAAACAGAGTGAGAGACCCCTGCAGGATTAAGGCTTTGAACCACCGAGTGCCCCCAACAGCTGTGACCCCCACACAGACACTCACTATTTCTACCCATCAGTCTACGGTCAGGCTTCGCTCGCCGCGTCGCGGAGCTTCAGACAGGTTATAAATACGAGCAGCACTTGATAGAGAGTTCATGTTGCTTTACTGCCACACGGCCAAATTTGGCCTCTGTGTTCAATCCTGGAGGCTTCAAGTGAATCAGCTAAACCAACAGTCACTAATTCCAGCCGGGGCAGGATAGGTTTATTGACGGTTCAGTGAGTAGCTGCCTAACCACTTTCCTCCGTCTCGTGTGACTCAGAGGCAGACACAGCCCAGGAGGACATCACATGCCCAAATGAGACGAACGCCGCCTGTAATTAGATGGAAATACACGTGGATCACTCGTTGAGGTGCAAGGGGTGTGCGAGAAAGGGGTCATTAGTGTGGAGTTACACAAATAAGTCTTTGAGAATGGAATATTTGGGATGTTCATTGGACCAGTGGAGCATTGACAGTTTATTTGTCTGGTTTTACGTTGTTAATTGAATCAAGAATCGAAGGATCTGGAGCTTCCATAAAAAACAATTTATACCAACTTGATCAGTGTTGGTTGGCCACGTGCAGCTCCATTGACCTTCTCATCACCTTCGAGCAAATAACAAAAGCTCAAGATAACTGTGAGATAAAAATCAAAAGGGGGGGATTTTTGGATCCATTGTTCTTTCTGGTTAATTATCTTGTGTTGCCGATAAAAGTGACCACATCGGTAAACACGATAGAAACGTCGAAGAGAAGTGTCTTTTATTTATTTTATATTATTTTTTTAAATAAATCACAGGCTCCTCCTTCTGTTCCAAACTTTGTCACGGGAGTGGGAACTCCCTGCTCCTCCGCGAGTCGGCGAGCAGAGGAGGCGTGGGCCCGCAGAGAGAGAGAGAGACAGAGAGAGAGAGAGAGAGAGGAGACGCTGAGAGGAGCTGCCGGAGGAGCGTTAATGACACACCGGCCGGTCTCAGTCACAGCGATGCAGATTTAGCTCCAAAAAAAAAAAAAATCCCACACACAACAACTTTTTCCACGCTTGATTCGCCGACTCGAGAGGCGCCGGAGACTGGGACAAAGTTCCACACCGAACGTCAATTCGAGAGGATTGGTTTTATTCCCAGACATGGGCTTGGGACGCTCTCGCGCAAAGACGCCGCGGCCGCTCGCCCTCCTCGTCCGCGCGCTCCTCTGCGGCAGCGCGCTGCTGCTCGCGGTTCCTGCGTGCGAGGCGTTTAACTTGGACGTGGAGAAGCCGGCTGTGTACAGCGGACCTAACGGGAGCTACTTCGGATATGCTGTAGATTTTTATCTGGCCGATGCTGCCAGGTGAGTGGTTTCTGTTTTGTTTTTTAGAGCATAAGTACTGTTATTCTGTTAAGTGGAGTCTGAAAAGTTGTGCGAATGTGTTGCAAACTTTCCATGGGGGCGGACTAAATGTTTTCCCCAAACATTTCTATTTCCACGCTGCAGTTTATGGAGGACGTTTTCGTAACGTGACTCTTACACTCTTGACAATTAGGATTTGGGGATTAAACTGTTCTCCAAAGCCTGTTTCCAGCAATCCTTATTGGTCTGAAATGCGGCTGCTGATTGCGATGCTGCCCCAGCTGCGTGGGGATGGGATCCCTGTGACACCGAGCATGCCGGGATTCTCTTGCGTTCTTCCTTTTCGAGGAACTCCCAAGGACTGATTCATACATGCTTGGGATTATGTCTCCTACTACTACGAGGAGAAAAGCAAACACTAGTGTGGGGAGTCCTGACTCTGTTTTTAACAGCATGTAGTGTTGATATCAACAGGAATGCAGCAGAAAAGCCCCCCTTCCCCCCCCAAAAAAACTTGACATCTGTATTGATTTACACGCAGAACACTTTGGTGAGCCGTGGGACCAAAACCTGTAGTCGACATAATCCTTAACAAAAGGCTGTGACGGTTTCACTCGGACGTAATCAGTCTTCCTGGCTACGTCTGTGTCCCGGCCCACTGTCGGGACCAGCCAGCATGCTGGGATTTGAGGAAGGGCTTTGTGCCGAGTAGGCCGGCAGCGGCAGCTCTAGTGTCCCTGTGTGTCCCCCCCTCTCTTCCCTGGACGGTGAGACACTCGGACACAGGGACAACCCCACCCCATCGTCCCCTTGCGCTCTCTCTTGCAAAAGCCTGCTGCTCTGAGTCTTCCTCTCTCTGCCTGGATGATTTAGGACGTGAAGCTTGAATGCATGATCCTCTCTTCTCTCTCTCTCTCCAGCCTCCCCCTCCTCACTTCCTCCCATGCTGATGTCATTTTATTTTTATTTCATCCATCCCCCCACTGTCTAGCCGCGCTCCCATCATCTCTCCTCAACTCATTAAGCGTTAAGACAGAGTAGATGTCATCCTGGTGATGACTTCATCTGAACTTTTCTACAGTGAGGGATGCCATGCTCATGGATGAGGCCGAGCAGGATTAATGTTTAAATGTAGCCTCCTACAACCCAGTGCCCAGTCTTTTTTTTCGCGTGCACGCTGTGTATTCCGAAGTCAAATGTCAAGCACAGACAAAGTACGCGAGAGCAGAATTATTATCACCGCTCTGATGGGTCTTTATCTGCACAACACGCATATCTGCCACTTTTCATTCACAGCCTCTTAGATGTGGAGACGTATCAGCAGATGCCAGGAGAGTTATAAAACAACTTTCCGTTATCTCTTGTTTTTGCCGTCACATCATCATCATCATCGCCCACACTCGGGAGAAGCAGGGGAGCTGGAATCCAGGGGGGGGAAGGTCAGTCGAGGGTTGCACAGGGAGTTTTCTTCTTGTCAAGATGGGCTGCTGTTCGCCTGTCCGTCGCCGGTTGGACTACAGCGCTTAGATTAGCAAAACGAGACGGATGGCAGATCCAGAGACGAGGATGCTGCGTCCGTCCGTAAATGTCCCCTGGCGAGCCCGCCAGCACAAAGGCCTACTTTCTCTCAGTTTGACGCTTGACAACAAGTTTATGTACGTGGCGGGGGTCTGTCATGCCCTCTGGCCTGGCGTAATAAAATTAAGTTTAGACACTGTCAGACAGCCCACCATGGAAGATCGCCCGAGGGTAGTGTCTGCGAACTGTGAATGAGAGCGCTTGTCAGATACACACAGGAAGTGCAAGAGGTATATGGTCCCCTGTTGAGTGCGTTATCTTCGTTACTGGAGACGGTCAACTCTCATTCTCAGTCTTCTGAGGGCCGACTCTCAAATGACTTAATAGTCAAACGACAGTAACTGCCTCCTCTTTTTTTTCTTTTGCCGGTGCCAGGCGGGGATGAGGGAGTGGATCACGGCTGCAGACAGACTGAGTCAAAGGGTCGAGGACTGTAAATGATATTAGACCTTGCCTGCAGTGTGTGGAGGGACGTGACGGCTTCTGGTGCCTGTTGAATGTTGGATTCTCATGGAAACATACGTTTATAACCACTTGATTTTGGAGTGGAAACTGCTCCATGAGTTTATAGAGCCGTTAAAAAGAAACAATGTCCGGTGATGGACGACCCTCGGCTGGAGATTTGTTGCAGTCCTGGCATGTGTTTCAGTGACGTGTCGGCGATGTGCATTAGCTCATGAACAACATTTGGCCATGAACAACAACAACGTGCCGGGTTCAGCCTGTCCGTTCAGGTCACTCGCCTGGAGTTCACCCTCCCTGACGGGGTTAGAGTCGGACTAATGTTGACGTTGGACCGAGGTCTCTCCTTTGGCCACTAAGACTGCAATGTTTTCTCACAGCGGCCCTCCTTCATATATGATCGTTCTCATTTGAGTGATTGTTTTCATTGGTGCTCTTCTCTATGGAGTTGTTCTTAAACGAAACCAGTCGGTGTTGGAGCTGCCGGAGCGCAGCTTGTATATTTGTGTTGCCAAACTTTTCTTCATCCAGGTTCTTGCCGTTGAATGCAGACAAAAGGGCCCTTTGTCTGACGGCAGGAATAGTTATCTGTTTTCTATTTAAGTCCTTTTCACTATGACTCATTACTTTCTGACTTTATTGTTCTACTAAAAAAGGCTGAGTTGATTTCCAGTTGTCAAGCGTTGTACACACCTATGATAACCAGGCCAGTAGGTTGAGAGCCTTTATGTCTGTAGGTCAGCTGAGACGTACTTCGCTTGGCTACAAAATGCAGTCTGTCTCAAACACAACGTGTCTGTTTAGCTTTTACTAGTCTATTGGTAAAAGGGGGGTTTAAATTATGAGCCCGTGTGCGTTTCACTGGAAAAAGATGTCAGTGTGGACCTTTCTGTCAAGTCTGCTTCATTGAGCTGGGAATGCCTAGAGGACGTCATGTCTATAGGAATGGAGTTAGCCATCGGTCAGGGTCGCCCTGACTCATACTTTTCTAGATTTAATCTCTGGCTGCCAGGGGGCCTGGTTAGTTTTAACCCCAGGTCACTATATAACTCATCTATGTTCATTTGGTAGAGGTTATTGTTTACGCAGCAGTAAGCAAATGACACCATCGTCCACTTTGGCCAAGGCGAAAATTCCACTGGCTGGAATTCAAATTAGCATCTCATTTTTGTAATGGAAATGTGACGTAAACCTCTGGCCATTACGGTCTGTGGATGTGCGTTTCGCATGTATGCATGTGTGGGTGTGGCCGGGATCGTGGTGGGCGAACAGACAAAATGTTTCAACAGCTGCTTCCCCCCAATCCCCGACCGCCCCCAACTCCCCTCCCCCATCATCAGGTCCAATACAACCATCTCTCAATTGTGAGGTGAGAGGACCGGACCCCCTGACGTGGGCATTGTGGAGAGGTGTGAAGCCCCAGCAGTTAACCCCCCCCCCCCCCCCCCCATGCATGAGCATTTTGGAGCGGCTGGACTGTGAGGAAGGGGAAGGGGGGGGGTTGCCACTGGGGGTGGAGGTGAGAAAACACTTTGGATCAAGAAAATGCGTTGGCTGGAGTAAGTCAATTTGATCAAAAGTGAAAGGATGTTTAAAATGTCTCGTCATTGAGCAGCTGCTGGTTTTCACACATTGACTCACAGTGTTTTGCACATCATGCTGTTAAAAGTAGCAATCGCTAAATCAGCTTGGTGTGGACTTTGCTCCAAATACCAGACTGGTGACTTCTTGCCAGCTGCTCAGTGCCAAAAAATTCACTGTTTTAAAATACTAAAAATTGTAAAATGTTCCTGTTTGACAATAAAACCCTATTTGGTTACCTTGGCCGGCAGCCCTTTTATGCTTTTGAGGATGCCCGGGGATTTCTCTTTTTTTAGAGTCAGATCCTCAACAGGCTAGACTGCACGTCTGATCCACACTGGTCGGTGTGGCTTTAGATCTCAATTGCTCCTTTTCAAGTTCATCCCGGAATGTGGAAATGTCTTTAGCTTGTCATGAAATACTCGCTCCGGGCTTGTAAGCAACATACAGATCCTCCGTCTGCTTCTCACTCTGCCATCTGACCATTATGATAAGAAATGCGGCTTCAGCTCTGTACAGTAGACTCTCTGTAGTCGGCACACGCCATCCCGGAAGGCACTGCTACTCTCATCATCGTCGGGCTCCTGGACAGCAGCACTGAGAACGTGCGTGCGTGTGTGTGCGTGTGTGTGTGTGTGTGTGTGCGCGCCACAGAGTAGCTGTCGTCCATATGGCGGATGTCAGGACTCAAAGCGGCTTCTGTCTGGCCTTGGTTCCGAGAGGACGTGAGGATATTCATGTGATCTAGAACAAGTCATCACGCACGCTACTTGTCCTTCTCCTTTCTGTCATCCAGCTGCTTTCACACTAAGTGCCCACGCGTGCTTTGGAAAGTCAATATTGCTGCAAGATGACATCATGCAATGATTCATTCATCTGTTCAGCGTGTCAACTAGGGGTCTACTCCCATTGATCCAGGTACCATCAAATTATGCCGGTGAAGTGATTCTCTGGAGATGTTGGATTTTCCCTCTAAATCCCCCCTGAGGGAGGGAGGGGGGGTCTCTATAGCGGCCTCTGGCTCAGATCAGTTCGCTGCGTCGGAGTTGCTCTGCTGATTTGGAGCGACTTCGCTGTTTAAGCACTTGTTGATAGCTCTGTGATTTCGAAAAGGCCAAAACTCCTTTGCCTGTGCCACAGCGTCCGCCGAGCCGCGTCGATGACTGCGGGTGGCGATCGCAGCCGTCACTGGCAGGATTAACATATGTGATTTGTTTTCCCTCCCCCTCTTTCTAGCTTAAAGCCGTTAGTGTTCAAGTGACATCAGCTTTTGCAGCTGGGTGGAATACAATTAAATGTGGAATGAGACTAAAGAGGTGGGGATGTGGGGAGGGGTTGGGGAGGTGGTAAACTGAAGAATTTTCCCTCTGACAGCCTCCTTCTGTAGCCTCCGTGATACATTTTATTAGCTGCGATAGTGTCACATCAGCAAGTTCCAGCACTCAGCCTCACCCCTGATAACGCAAGCCCACATACGTTCGTGGTTGCGGTGTGGGAATTGCGGCGTGGCGAGGGATTTATTTGTAAAATGCCCCTGTGATTGTTTGAGCCTCAAATGAGACAAAGCCAGTTGCAGTCACAGTGAAGCTGTTGACCCAAATTGCTCACAGTAGCTTAATTAATGCTTTATTGGTGGCTTCCGTATGGCAGCTAGTGGGGTAGACCATGCCAGACGAGATGGAGCTTCCAAAGCTTTACATCTTCCAGTTCCCCTCCAGGAGGCATTGCTCGTGTTGCTGTCTGGTGAAACAGTTTTGGTGTTCATCCACCGCAACGTGAGACGGACGAATGAGCAAGTGGGGAGTAATTTAATTCTCCAGTAGACAAAACATGTCAGTGACCTAAAAATCGGTCATGGCTTTTCAGGTGCATCCTGAGCTTTGCCAGCTGGTATCCCCATCAAACGTGTGATGGTGCAGCTTTCAATCCCTCCATGAGCTGAACATCCTTTTGTCTCCGAGACGTTCCCGACCACTGGTGGTCCTTAGAACGCCATCTTGTGGTCCATGTAGCTTTTGCAAAACGGTTTGATTTAATTAACAACATATTATATTTGGTAATTTTCAAAGCAACTTAGACATTATTCATTTATTAGACGTTCAACTAATTCAAATGCATACTTTCAGTGACCAGTTTGAATATCACCACAAAATCCATTAAACGTTGTCAGGAAGAGAAATGACAATAATACTATTGTGAGCAATCTAAATTCAGATGCAGTAAAATGTATACGGTTCTGAAACGAAAAAGGGATGAGGCTGACAACCCTGCGTCTGTAAAATCCCCAAAGAGTGTGGTGTAAAATTAATTGATAATGGCCGGCGGTGGTTGGTGACTGTAAGCAGAATATTTATTTGGTCAGTACAGCTGAGACTGGATTACACAAATGTACAGCTCAGTTGAACTGTTTCACATTTACCTTGTTTGTAAGGAACGGCGTCCTCCAAAAAATTTCCTTTTTTATTCGCTTTCCTTTTTTTTTTTATTTTTTTTTTTACAGTCAAAAGTGTCCCAAAGATTGCCTTTGTCCAGACCCGCCACAGTGGCCAGGACACAAACCAATGTGTCTTTCCTTCAGCTCAACGGCTGAGGATTCCAGGACCTGGATAACAATTACATGTATTTGCATGCCCATCCCTGGAGTCGGTCATGTAGTCTGTCTCCTTCCACAAAGGAATTTGTAATGCAGCACCCAGACGACTGCAGTTAAAGCTTCATTAAATGCTAATGATGCTAAGCTCCACCTTTTCGAGCACCCAGCTTGGAGATAAGGTGTGGGGCGGAGAAACACTAGTTTGGTTCTCGACTGATCCTTTGCCAGATAAAGACCCATTAAATGCTAATTCCTCCTCATTTAGTGCTTTTTAGATGGTTATCAATCGGTGTGTCCGCACATCTGTGTGTATCCGTGTACGGCAGTGAAAAGTTTCTTTAATCGCCAGTTTGCTGATTACAGCATGATTAGGTTGTTGGTCATTTCCCATATTATTTTCCCTACGTCTGGGCTGTGTTCAGATCTGCTTTAACAAATATGATGCTGCGGTTTCCTTGGCAACGTTAGTGTATTCATGTTCCTCCCAGTTGTGTTGATGTGCTTGGATCCAGATTATTTGGAAAATGTTGATTTCTGTTCATTTGTCGGCTCAGAACATTTTAAGTTCAGCAAAGGTAATCCTTCTCACAGCAAAGTGTGGTCTGCTTCCTGCTCTCTAAGTCTGATTGTTTTCTTTCTATTGTTCTCTTTTAACACAAACTAGGAGGTTCTGCTCCGCTTTTTGGGATTGACATTGCACAGTATCTCGTCTCTCCTGAGGTATTGTGACCACAGCGTTGGATATTAAACCCACAAGTTTGACTCTGTGAGCTTCTCGTTCTTCTACTCGTAGTAATGTTTTTACAAAACCATAGATGATGAAATGATTAGGAAGCTTTGTCTTGACCACCAACGCACTCCGGCCTCCTTCTGCTAGATTCTTTTCCCACGGAGCCATCTCATAACGTTAGTAATTTAGTGTGTCTGAGTTGATAGGTGGGTTCAGCGGGATTAATTATGGTGGATAACAAACCTTGGAATATTGGACGGTTTAACTGCAGTTTTGACCCCGTCTTCCTCTGGACACTGCCGAGTGCCCTTCGGGGGAGGAATGCTACTTTTTTTTACCAAAATGTAAACGTTCATGCTCTGTTGGATGATCTGGGGCAGGAAAGGGTGAGCCCTTCCTGCTTGGGAGCCCCCTAGACACCGTCTGGTCTCGGTGGTCACTTGCCCCTTTTACCCTTTTGCCAGCGGCTGCAGCTGTGATGCTTGTCGGGTCAAGTGGGTCCAGAGTGAGGTAATGGCTAAATCAGCCACTTAAGACACATTATCTACTCAGGGATATTGTGTCCAACTTTACCCTGGCCAAATCTCTGTTTTGCCCATTAACCCTCTCGTTTCTTCTTCTCTTATTCATCTCAAGAGTCACCGGTCATCTCGCGGAGTCTCACTCTGTGAGTTGAAGCAGGTGTCTTGTAGGTGTACAGTGTATCTCCCAGGACGTGGTGGTTTAGTAGCACAGCTGAAGCAACAAGAGCAATGCCTCGAGCAGCCTGTCTGCTTTTCTGTTTTCCTACGGGGACGCTTGTGTGTCCGTGTGTGTTTCTCCTGACTGCGCAGGCTGTGTGTCCGTGAACACCACAGGTGCATCACATGTGCACATGGCATAGTACCAGTCCGCACCGGTTGAATGGGGAATTATGCTAAACAGTGCTACAACCTGTTAAAATGTTTTGCTTGTGAGTCAGAATACAGCTTGCAAAGCGGTTAAATGCATTCAGGCATCACATTTAAAGCTATTTAATTCATGCCAGGCTAAGAGCTACAAACCTGTGGCTAATGGCTTAGCGTGTTTGAATGGATCATGGGGTTTGGTAAGGATGTAACATTGGCTTTCTGTCCTTCTTTTGCAGTGTGAGTTTGGTGATAGGAGCTCCAAAGGCCAACACCAAGCAGGTGAACATCACAGAGGGAGGATCAGTCTTCTACTGCCCGTGGAGCCTCAGCCAAAGAGATTGTCACACCATCGACTTTGATACGGAAGGTAAGCATCATGACAGAGCTGTTGGTGGTGGTCTGGATGTGGTTCAGCAACCAGACCAAATCCTCCATAAACTCCTCGAGTTGACTGACTGCCTGGTTGTGTGAGAAACGGGGTGTGTGTTTTTTTTTTTTTTAATTCCCTTAAAACAGCAGAGGTCCGCTGCATCTCTGGACACTGTTCAAGCCATCAGCATTTCCTCTCTGCTCGCGTTGTCAGCAAACAGCTCAGGATCAGGCGTCAGCGTTCCACTCCACTGAGCTATTGTCCGGTGCTTTGGTTCCTGAATGCAGGGTGAATCTTTCTTTCCTCTTCCTGTCCCGTCTTTGGGGATGAAAAGGATAATGGGGTGTTGAAGAACTTTTTGAAGGATTCTCTTTTCTTCACCTAGGTCGTGTTTGTGTTGCCTTGCCCCAGGAGTTATAAGGGAGATAAGTGCAACCAATAAACAAATAGGTCTGACAAAGAACGGTCCTGTTTGTACGACAGGTGAAGCACGCACCGCCGGTCCTGACAAAAAGGCTCTAGTTAGAATAAGTTAAAGCGTTTGGGAGAACACAAGGAGGTTGTCTGATGATTGGATTCATGTTTCAGGATGTTGTCAGATTACCCATTAGCCTGTCTTCTGCTACAGAAACATGGCGAGGTGAGAAAAGGGACGGTCAAAGTATAATGACTGCTGTCTTTTGGAATGAACATACCCTAAAAAAACACACACGCAACAGTGTGAGGTTAACTTCAAGCCGGGGGGGCTTTTGACGTCTTTCCTGAGAAAGCAAAGCTGAGCAATCTGGGCCAACTTAAATTCATAGTGTGTAATGCACAATAAGGACAATTCCACTGAGTTTCCACTTGTTTCACAAGACCTGGTTTAACAATATTCTTTTATTGGGCACACCAGTGCTGGGTACCCTTTGCTCCACTGTTTTTGTACGTTATTTTTCTTGCTACATAAAATATAGCGTTGGCTGGAGGCCACAGTGAGTGATGTTGTGTGCGAGCAGCAAGGCCTCACGGTGAAGGTTAGTCCCCTGGGCTGTCCTTCATATTTTCCAAGGGCCTTTGAAGAAGCTGTTCCGAGTGTCAGTCTGTTGCAGCATCTGGATCACAGCAGATGGACAACCGGACAGTCGAGGAACAATTAAAATACGGACATCTGCAGACAAACGGCAACTGTTACACGGATGACATTTATTTCTGGAATTAATTTACTGCAGATGTGATATTTCTTATTTTACTAGAGCAATAAAGTTGCATACAGTTGAAATTTCTTGGGTGGGCGGGCTTAGATGCCTCACAAAGCTACAAAGGGCTGTATACTCACACTCATACATACCGTGTTGATTAAATCTGTAGATTGAGGGATGGATGTCAGTGAATTGGCTCCTCACTTACTCGCTTAATATTACCCCCAAAAAGTTTAAACTGACATTTTCACTTTCATCTTGACTGTGTAACGGTGTGCTCCACTAGGGTTTTGGGTGGTATAGGTCTCACTGTCTCTTGGTGTGTTTGAGCTCTGGCCCACGGGCCATGGACCCTCTTAATTAACCTAACTAATTGGGTCAAAGTGGCCAGAAGGCCCCCTCCCATCGCCTTCCGCCTCCATCGAGATAAGAGCCCCATCTATGGATCTTGGAGGAGGAAAGTGCAGCGAGGGCAGTAGGGAGGGTGTGAAAAGGGCACATACAGGATGGGAGAAAGGGGAGGTAGGGTAAGAAAGCCAGACGGGGCAGGAGGAAAGAGGGAGAAACCAGAGCCCTTGTTCGTCCGCTCTGTTCTCCTGCTGTCGGTACTCCCACAGGGGCGGCTTATGTGATGAGTGAATTTGGCCATTTGTCTTCAACCCCACCGACACACACACAGAAATACACGCACACTCAAACGGAGGCTCTGCCTGCACTAATGGCTGTTGTCTCACGCACGGTTCAAAGGCTAGAGGGAGTCTACGGACGCACTCCAGACCCCCACACTCCTCTGCTGGTCCCAGGAGACACTGGGAATGGCACCATGTCACATCAGCGCAGCGCTCTAACCGGACTCCCGAGGGGACTTTGGTCGGATGGCATGTTGCTGGAATCCGTCTCTGACTTTTCCCTCTATCTCCAATCTCCTCCTACTGTCGCGGATAACAAACAGAACTCTTCATCCGCCATTATGGTGACACGGAACTAATGCGGGTAGTAATGCTGCCGTATCTACTTTACATAAATAGTTAATTTATCACAGTTATGAATTACAAAGGGATTTTCTGCCGCTACTACTGGTTGCCCGGGTAACACGACACAAACTGTGACTCGATGGATCGATTAATTTTTTTTCCAAAAAAACCCAAAGTTATTGTGTTTGCCTTGTCCAAACAAACTCTCTAGTTATATAAATAAATATTCAAATGTACGCGTTAAAAAAAGGTACCATGCAGTAAAGCCGATTTTGGGGCCATTTATTTTGCTGGTCTTGTCATTAACTTTATCTTTTCACACAGACTGTGGTGCAAAGGATCGCTGCTGTGTGTGTGTGTGTGTGTGTGTGGGAATGAATAATGTTTGAAGGGAACCCTGGTGTTTGAGATACGGTTGTGTTGTTAAAACACAACTGTCTTGGGTAAAAGGGAGCAGCACTTCCTGAAAACGTATGAGAGAGGCCATAAAGACACGTTGACTAGGGCGAGATAGGGTAAAAAAAACGAATAGGAAGAATGAGCTGATTTTAAGAGATGAAATTAGAGAGAAAATAGCCGAATCGTGTGCATGAAGCGCTATGAGGAAGCAGTTGTGTATGTTATCCTTGGACTCAGCCCCTTGGCGGTTTCCCACGAAAACACGGAGCAGCTCCAGGTTGCTGAGTTGGCTGGGAGGAAAAGCCGGGGGTCGACAGCCTGCTTTCTTCACATCAACATAGGCCATGATCTCTTGCATTATGTAGCGTCAGACCCTGTTCTGTTGCTCTTTTGCAATATGCCTGTGGTTTTGACAACGTCTTGAGTCTGGGTTAAGAAAAAGATGCGACTTCCTTGCCAAATCAATTTGTGCGCATTTCAATCTCCATTGCTGAACTGACGTAACATCTGTCCACCTATAAAGTTGTGTTTTTAAATTTGACTCCCCTGACCATCTGTCATGTCACCTGCAGCTGTCAAAGCGTTTGTGGCCAGGTGGTCAAGCAGAGCGAAGGGTCAGCGAGGTTAAGCTCGTCCGGTCCAAACCTGGCCGAGCCAAGAGAACGGCCGTATTTTTCCAATTCTCACCCTGGTTGTCGTCAATGAGAAATAGTGCAACAACTGGTGCTAAGCTTTCTCCTACCAATTTGCCAGATGTTTTCCAAGGGTCGTAACGGGCAGAATCAAGACACTCAAGATCCACACGAAGGAATGCATGTTATTTCACAGTGCTGTCACTCAGTCATTTCCTCCTGTGTTTCCCAGGGAATCGCAACGTCTTGCTCAACAACACAGAACATCAGGGGGATTTTAAGTCGCACCAATGGTTCGGCGCCACCGTGCGTTCTCACGATGACACAATTCTGGTAAGCTGACCCTCTTGTGGTGGGTGGGGGGGCTTTGGGGGTTGGGCTGCACCACAACATTTATTCTGGCCTTCGGTGAAGCTTTGCTCTGGCCACATGGCCAAGAAAAAAAAAACTGCTTTGAGGGATGTCTCACTCAGACATTGACTTGTTGTCACTGGGGTCCAGTTTTCACCCCCCGTCTCAACACACCACAAATAAATATTTCGTGCCGCCCCCACATAGCCCTAAAACCTGAGCCGGCTTTTGTTTGGTCTGATAGTATGGGTTATGACCTGGGTTGAGTTACGACGGTCCCTGCTCCAGATGTACCGCTGACCTAAGCCCGAGTTCAGCAGTGTGATGTTGCAACTGGAAAAACATCTCCCACCTGCCAAACTCACGCCATTCATCACCGATTCTCCTCCCTCCCCTGCCCCGGCAATCCATATCTCTCTCCACCTCCTCTCTGACCCAGGCTTGTGCCCCGCTCTACTCCTGGCGGACTAAGCAGGACGTCCCCCACTCCGACGCTACAGGAACTTGCTACCTCTCAGTGAAGAATTTCACCAAATTTGTGGAGTACGCTCCCTGCCGCACAGGTAAGCCCTCTCTGCGTTGGTTATGTAAGGGGCAATGCTTTTAAAATTAACATTAAATAGTTATTGCTTGAAAATTGAGTAATGGGGCACCACACCATTCCTGCGTGTTTCAGAGATCAGCAATGCGGTGGGACAAGGCTACTGTCAGGGAGGATTCAGTGCTGACTTCACAACGGTAATAACTAGTTAATTTGTGGTTTGTAGGATAAACATTTTCGGGTTCAATTATAATAATTCCAAGTTTTATCTTTCAGGATGGCAGAGTTGTATTAGGAGGGCCAGGCAGCTACTTCTGGCAAGGTATGTAGGGCACAGCAATCAATTGAATATGTGAAAAACAAGCCTCCAAATGGTCTTCAAAGTTAAATCCGTCATACTTCAGGTCAGGTGATAACTGCAGCCAAAGAGGACATCATCAAAGCTTACTATCCAGGTTTCTTCATGCAGTCTGTGGAGAGACAGATCCAAACCAGACAGGCGATGTCTGCACACGATGACAGTTACCAAGGTAAGAGAAGCTTTGGTGCTTTTTTTTAATAGAAGCACATTTACACTTTTCTGCATTTGTTCGCGATGAAAACGGAGGCTGACGTCTGACCTCTTGTCCGCAGGGTACTCCATTGCTGTCGGGGAATTCAGTGGTGATGAGGTGGAAGGTAAGTAAAAAAAAAATGCACCCACACGGCCAATGCCAGGGTAGGCATGCCTGATGTAAAACACATGGATTAAACACAAGCTACAATATTTTGTTTCATTATTATTGTATATATGTATACTGGAGTTATATTACCCACCTGCTGGGCCTGACCTGTTTGTCTCCCCACCCCTTAATCTTTGCTTCATGTCTCTGTGTGCCTCAGATTTTGTGGCTGGTGTTCCAAAAGGACTCAAGCTTTATGGCTTGGTAAGAAAGCTTAATTGCTCTCATTTTGGCTCCAATTTAGATGCTTTTATGATGAAGGACCTCAGTTTCAGATTTGAGACAGCAAAAGAAAGAAAACAAGCGTATTAATGTTTTCACAGTGGAGGTTATCTTTGCAATGAACTCCATACCAGAGACTGTGTGGCTGCTGTGTTGCAGGTGACTATTCTGAATGGTAGAGATCTGAAGACCATGATTAACTACACTGGTGAGCAGGTGAGTCAGAGAGATCCAGCCTCTGCAGAGCTAGAGCTCCTTCATGCTCCGCTTCCTCTGTGTTTTCTTTGCTGTGCTCATTATGAGAGTTCATAACTTGTTGATGGTATAAGCAAAAATAATTTCCTTTACAATGTTCTTAACTAGATTTTGGTCTCTTGTGGTTTGCTGTAGAGCGATTGAGGGGGAAGGTGCAGTGGCAATTTGTGCAAATGGCCGTGGGAATAGAAAAGGAACCAAGCTTGTTTTAAACAGTGATGATTGACTCAGCTGAATAAATAAAATCACAAGTGAATTTGCTTACCCTTTGGTAATTCAGACTGCTCCAACAATTTGCTTTTCCAACTCAAAATTGGAAATTAAACTGAACAGAATCCGCACCAAACTTGGCTTTGCCTGTGAAACCCATCAGGCCTTCATGTTTCCTCCCTTTTGCACTAGTGACGCAGAGTGTATATGATGTATTATCGTGAACAAACCAAATCTTGATCATTTTAATGTCTTTTGATCATTACATTTTCAGTCATTGACACTCTTTTCTTTACAGATGGGATCATATTTTGGGTATGCAGTGGCAACGACTGACATCAATAGTGACGGGTGAGTAGTCGCCTTGTACGTTGTCTGCTTTTCTCACCATCCCAGCACCCTGCCTTGCTCTGTCCCTTCCTGGCTAGTTAATTCTCTGCCAGAGTCTCGATTGGAAGCCACCACCAACCCATTACAGGCGTCATTGTGTCTGAGCTTAAATTAGTTTGTGATTTTCCTGTCTTGTCTGCAGGATGGCCGACCTGCTGGTGGGAGCGCCCATGTTCATGGTCCGGAGCTCCGATGGGCGACTGGAAGAGATGGGACGGGTCTATCTTTACCTGCAGCGGGGCGCCGTGAGCCTGGAGCTCCGCCTGCCGAACCTGACAGGCACCCAGGTGTACGGGAGATTTGGCAGCACCATCGCACCCTTGGGAGATCTGAACCAGGATGGTTTCAATGGTAAGAATGAGGATTGTTGGAATATTGGCGATGAAATGGATTTTGCGTCACGATTTCTTTGGCTGCCGTGGCTACATTTTTCCTCCCATTTGACCGTTTGTTAGATGTGGCTATAAGCTGTCCGTTTGGAGGGGAGGATCGGCAGGGACTTGTCTACATCTTCAACGGATACTCAGGAGGACTCAGGGAAAAGCCATCTCAGGTGATAACTGGCCAGTGGGCTGCTGGTGCGATTCCTGCCAGCTTTGGATTTTCCCTCAGAGGAGCCAAGGACCTTGACATGAATGGATACCCAGGTGAGTGAGGTTTAGTAGGCGATCGCGATCAATAGCTTTTTATATATTAGGTATGTTTTCTAATTCTGATTCTTTATTTCCCCAGATCTAATTGTTGGTGCCTTTGGTGTGAATAAGGCAGTTCTCTATAGGTATGTTGTTTTGACTCACTTACTGTATGTAATCATGAGTGTTTATCTGCTTATTGACTTTCTTCCTTAGAAATGAATACTAATGTCTACACTACATAAACTGTTATTCTGTCCAGATCTGCATAACTGGCTGTTTCATAGTTATTATAGGGTTACAATAAGCCTTTCATATCTATATTGTGAGCGGGTTCTCTTCACAGTCAGGGTCTTCAATCGTCTTTCTTTTTATTACCTACAGATCTCGGCCAATAGTTAACACCAGTGCCACTCTGACTGTGAATCCCACAAGGATCAACCCTGAAGAGAAGAACTGCATGGTCACCAGTGGAAACACCACCATTCCGGTTTCCTGGTGAGTTTTCAGCAGCTTGTCCAGTGCCAACACTCCCCAACTGCAAAAAAGAAGGGTGCTTCCCCATTTCCCCAACATGCATAAAATCCTATCCTGACAGGAAGTTCTGATAAGGAAAAAAAATTTCCATAAGCAGTTGCTGTATTTTTTTTGCATCCGTTCTTATCTGACCCATTTTCCCAAAATCTTTCTGTTGAGAAATAAATTGCTGAATAGCAGCATTGTTGGCTGTCTTTTTGGCCTCAACCAAACTTGCTCAGCATTCATCTCCTGAAAGGGGGGGGAGAGGAAACAGACGGCAACTTGGTCCACGCTCATGTGTCTGCTTCACCCCCCCGCCCTTTACAGATCCTGATCCATAAAGGAAACTCTTGTATACATATGTGTCTTGATTACACTACGTTGCCTGGTGATGAGGAGGTTTTGGTGGGGGTGAAAAGGGAGCACAAGGCATAATGGGATGGGGAGGGGCTGGAAAGCTTTTGCTGTTGCTTTTGAATGAGATATTGTTTGGTGGTGGAACACAGCTGGGAAACATCAGGACACGTAGACTCCCGTGAGCGTGAACACACAGCCATGCAGGAACAGACAGACACAGTAGCTTATACATGACGTTAATACTACTCCTTGTTCTAGTTCTAGTTCCAGTACACACTGTGTCTCTTTTTTCACCTCTCTTCCCTTTCCTGTGTTTTTTTTTCTTTTTTTTTTTCTATTTTCTTTTCAACGTTCTCTCTTTTCCCTTTCTTACTTCTTCCAGACTTTGCTCTACCTCTCGTGTGTGGATTTACTAGGTAAAGGATTGGGAGGGGGGGGGGGGTGTTGGGGTTTCCAGGCTTTTAGACTAGCAGTAGAGTGTTGTGCAGATGATGTCATGGGAGACAACTACAGGCTTATATAGACGGCCATTGACTGGTCAGCACTGAAACCTGAGTCGGACCAATTTCACCCATCTTAACTTTGTGTGTGTGTGTGTGTGTGTGTGGAAACGGAGGACCAATCCATCTGCTTGGCTGGCAAAAGTGGTCAGATGCCAGCGTGTTTCCAAACATCTGGCAATTAGTAGTTTTATGCATTGTGTTCCTGTTACGTCTTGTACATTGTAATGTAAACCATGTAAGCAGCTGAGACTTGAGACGTGGGCTGTGAGAGAAAGTGGGAGAAAGCAAGGGAACTTGTGTTTACACTGTATTTGTACTGAATCTCTGTCATAAGTTGATATGCATCCCTCTTCATGTTTTCATCCTCTCTGTCCAAACAGTGTTAATCTGAGTTTCTGCATAACTGCTGATGGGAAGCACCTACCAGACACCATAGGTGAGACAATTTTTCGCATCTGCGTTTTACTGGAGGTAATTGTCCAAAGAAAAGTACAGTAATGTTTTGAATCCATAAAAGTCTGTAGGTTTATGTTTTTGCAGATGTGGCTTTTGGGGGATTTTGTTATGACAAAAAAGGGTGCGCAGTATACAAAAGACCATCTGTGATCCACCGAAATGATCAAACCTCTTCTGTGTTTCTACCTCTTTCCTATCAACTCATTTCCATTGACTGTATTTTCTCTGTCCCATACAGCCGTTGGGTAAAAGTTACATTCCTGTTGGTCCTTCAGAATATTGATGGAGCTTTATGTGTGTGTTCCAGATTTCCAGGTGGAGGTGCAGCTAGATAGCAATAAGCACAAGCAGAAAGGTGCAGTGAGGAGGGCTCTGTTCTTGGATTCCCAGCAGCCTTTGCTTGAGAAGAGTGTGAGCTTGCGCCATGGCGAGCGTTGGTGCCACAACCCCAAGATCTACCTAAGAGTATGCTCTCATTCACAACTAATAGAAAATGTCTGACTGTGATCGTTTGTCCTGTGACTCCTGCGTCCAAGCCTGTCTTCAAAGAACACAAATGTCAGTACATCCCACCCGATCGCTACTGCCCATGTGCAACACTCAGCAGAAATGAGAAAGTAGCGAGGTGTCGCTTTTGCTCATGTGCCATCAAAAAGTGTAACTTTAGCCAGAACTGGCAAAAGGCAAGCTAGACCTGTCCTACTGGATGATTTAAGAAAGCTTCATGGCATTTATCCTCTGCATGTTTTTGATCACGGTCTCTACAATACATTCTCAATGTCGAACTGCACCAACTGCGGTGTGTGTTTCTTTAATTGCAGGCTGAGAAAGACTTCAGGGATAAACTTTCCTCCATCTACGTGGCCTTGAACTTCAGCTTGGATCCTAAAGCTGCCGCTGACTCTCACGGCCTGCGCCCCATCCTCAACTATCAGACTACCAACGTAATCGAGCAGAAGGTATTTTGATGACCTTTACTTCCCCGATATTCTGTCCAGCAGTCAACGAAGCCTCGATTTCTATACGGTGTAAAACATGTTCACTGACTGCCAGTTGGATTTGGATATTCACCATGTTTAGTAATCATTCCCTATATCACGGTCAAGCTGCTCAGTGACTCGCTCCTGGCCCGACTGGGTCTGTTATGAACGTACAGTCAGACCGTCTCTGCCTGGACGAAGTCTCGCGTGTCTGGAGAGCTGTTTTCAAAATGAAAATGTAAGGCATATGTTTGAGCATTTTCCCTTTGCCAGCAGTTACTGCTTTTAGCCGTCTTGGCCGCGCAACTTTACCTAGGTGACTCTGCATTTTTCCAGTTTTCCCTCAGGAAGTGAGTAGAGTTTGCTACGCGTAGGCGCCCTTCCAGCCGTGGCACAGCATGCACCATATGAGTTCAGCAACGGCCGTCAGTTTGCAGCATTCAGGGAAAGGCAATCGCTGTAGTTTTATCCCATTCTCCATTTCTCATTCTTTGTCGTGGTTTGTTCCGATCTTTTTGGATGAGCACTAATGTGTTTCCGAGATATTAACGCTGCAACTGATGTGTTCCGTTGCTGAACTGAGACCTTGAACCAAATCTGAGCCAAATATCATCCATAAACTTAAAAATGGCCTTTTTGCCAAACCTGAAAAACCCGATCCGTGTTTATGTGCGTAAAAGGGGAGTGGGAGCGCTTCAGACTGCCAACGTATTTTATAAATGTTGCTTTAGACTGTGTTCATTTAATGGTCTTTAAACAGTGAAGGGTGACTCTTATACCACAGCTGTGGCCTTGATCAGACACTTGATGCCCTATTGATTTACACATCACACATATGTGGCAAGCCTACGTAACACTTCATTGACTGCCAAATTCCTACTACTTTTGAACTGGAGTGAGAATGATGTGGTTGATGTATTGGGCACCGTCTCAATCTCTGTCCTCATACAACATATTCCACATGTTTCCATTTGGAGCTGAGACGCTATGATGGATCCATTAAATGGCACATGTTTCTGCAAAACCACACAGTTTTCAACTTTTTAGATTTTTTTTAAATGACTAAAATTGGGCATCAATGACCCCATCAACCAGCCCACGAACTGAAAGCTACCGAACAGTTAATGGTAGTCTAGAAAAAGGTTTATTTAAAAAAAACTTGATTTTCTTTTCTGATCATGGTAATTACTGTTAATAAAGCCCGGTAGAGACCGATTTTTACTTTCATCTTGAGGCATTCAGAGCACAGCAGCCAAAACGGAAGGAGTCCAACAATGCAAAAACAATAGGGCGTATTTTTTAATATTAACAATACGAAAATGTTCTTGCATGAGTACTGACCAAATCAGTGGGACTCTGGCCTCATTGTGCTGAGGTCACTGTTGTTGTTAACTACAGCAATAGGACTACAAACGTTGTTTTCCTGGTTTACACAGACACTCAGACCCAGGGTGCACATGTGGCCAGGTTAGCCTGGTGGATACCACGGTGTCCATAATTACTGCATGGTGTAATAACAAGTGGCTCGTTTCGCTCTCTCTAATCTCCTCTATTTCTATATGTTATCCTCCATCTTTATGAGCACCGTCACGCTGTCACAAGGCGCAGCGGGATGCAATTTGGTAATCCGCAGGGCCTTCCCCGCCGCTGGCCCGCCACACGTTCAGCGGTCATCCACTTATCCAGCAGTGTTTCTGCTCCTTTCTTGTGTTTCCCTCAACTGTAATCTCTGAACCCCCTCTACTGCCTTTCAGGTCAACAGAGATATCCGATGTCTGTAAATTTCTCTAGGATGAAGGCGCCTCCCTCTTCATATGATCATACTATAGTGCTGTGGTTTGCCGGGTGGCGGAGCGTGTGGTGAAAGCGTGGCTTGCCACACGGCCGTGTGATGTGGGGCTCTGGTGGGAGCCGGCGGCTTTGTGCTCAATCTCCACAAGCGGTACCTCCTCTGGCACAGCCGCTTTGGGCTTGACCCCCCCCCTCCTTTCCCCGCACTGCTCATCGTTTCGCCGCAAACAGAAAGCATGTGTGTGCCGGCACAGCTGGTTCTGGGGAGTAGGTCTGTGCCGGTCGTGACCTCACAGTCAGTGTCCCACCGAGACACTTTTTTTTTTGACTGTGTGATGATGCGATGATGATGTCATGTAGACAAAGCGGACAGCGGCGCAGGTGTGTGTCGGGGGGCTGCGTGGTGGAGCGCGTTAGTCATCCCACATGTCGCATCTTGCTTCACGCATCCTGTTGTGTCCCATAAACAGGCGTTTGATTCATCATGTGCGCCTAATTGTCTCCACATGTAAAAGTGTGTTTTTAGTCATAAATGATAAACATCGCAACAGTCTTTGGCCCCTATTACACCTCATATCACCCCCACAATCTTCTAGGCTCAGATTCTGTTGGACTGTGGAGAGGACAACATCTGTGTTCCTGACTTGAAGCTGACTGTTCACGGGTGAGTCTGTTCATTTCTTTATATACATTTTGACCAATCCCATTTGGTTTCATAAAAAAACAACATTCCAATTTGATGGATAATACATGGTAAACTGTGAACGGGGTCACTGAACTCCTCACCTCCACAGGGTGCTTGCATTTTAGTGCTAAAGTGTAAATACAGCTGTTTGTGTTGTTCCTGCTGCTTTGTTTAGTTTAGCATACCAGAGAGGGAGTGTTAATAGCCCTGGAGTAGCGGTGCCCGAAGACGGGAAGTAGCGCCGCTCTACAGGTGCTACGCGGACACTTAACGGGGAAAAAGACAGGAGAGATGAAAGGCAGAGTATGCGAGCTGCGTGGCAGAGTCCCAACACGGCCTTTTGCTTTCTGACGCCCTCCCGAGCGCCCGGCCTTCCACACCATGATTCAAGAAATCTGTTAGCATTTTTCTCCGAATCAACAACTCCCTCCTCCGCTCTGTCATTTTATTTTACATTCCTATATTTATCTACCATCTGCCTCCATTTCTTTCAACAAATGACTTCTCCATCACACGTGGAACCACCTGCTGCGAGTGCATGCGATTCCTGGGCTCCGTCCAAGTGCAACTCCAGAAACTGAGCCGCAGAGAGTGTGATTGGTGCAATTTCAAATAATAGCTCAGTGTTTTTGTCTACTCTGCTGTAAAGGAAGAACGCCTAAGAGAAGTAAGAAGGGTTGACAGGATGGCCGTGATTTAGTGGAATTTCAGATAAAGTATTCAGCGTTTTTTTCTTTTCTGCTGCCAAAGCACATAACACGTTCAACCTCTCTGGGAAGCTTTAAGGTCTTGTCCTTTATTTCACTTTTCTAGCCATTGTTTGAATAAAAAAAAGTAAACACGCAATGCCAGTTAGAGTAAGACGGCGGTCCACTTGTAGGCTGGCAGAGGATCAGTTTGAGAAACCTTGTCTCTCAGGCTCTCCTGCTCTGCTTTACGAGACTGGGCTGTAATTAAAAGCGTCTGTGTGGCCCTCCAAATGGAATTTTCTCATTGTTCTTAGCTATGGAGGGAAGCGGAGGGAGGGAGAGAAAGCAAGGAAGTGGTGGGTGATTTTACATTCCGTCACCGTGTTAGGCTCTTAAAAAAAGAAATGTCAAGCACAAAGCCTGAACTTGGTATTAGTGTAATTTAAGCCATTTGTTAATTTCAGGAAATTACATATTTGTCTTATAATGTTTCTTTTTTAAAACGGGGAAAGTAACACCCGTCATTGTATAATTTCCAAACTCAAAGACCAATCTAATCTTTTGTTGACGTAATATTGATGCAAATTTCAGCCCTACATATACATTTGCCTAAGGAGTCCTGACACTATTTAACCTACACATCAACCTTGTTAGTGATCCACCGTTTCCTCTGTCTGGGTGCTCAGGAACAGGAAGGAAGTCTACCTAGGCGATGACAACTCGCTGACCCTGACTTTCAACGCCAAGAATGAGGGAGAGGGAGGGGCGTACGAGGCCGAGCTCTATGTCGTGCTGCCCCCCGAAGCGGACTACAGCGGTATTGCTCGCAACAATGAAGTAAGAATTCAAAATACAGAAAAGAACGGGCCGGTGTTGTTCTTGGAACATTGTCACGGCTGCCGGGCTTTGTCTCGATGATTGTCCAATCCCCTGTCTCCTTGTTTTGTAGAGCCTGTCCCAGCTTACCTGCAGATATGACACGGAGAACCAAACCCAATACCTCAGCTGTGATTTGGGCAACCCGATGAAGTCTGGCACCAGTGTATGTACAGCGCCTCTGACAGTATTCATGCTCCGTGACCGTTGAACGATATACTCGTGTTGACTATAACCAACACAAGAAAAAAGCAATCCAACATTGCTGTCGTATCAACAATGCACATGGTAGTATTGTGTAATGATCTACTCTAACACTACACTTGGTATTGTGTTAAGATTGTTATCACACATTATTTGGGCTAGCATAAACATGTTGTGATTTCCTGATGTAATGACCGCCCTAGTTGTCCAAACATCATGATTTACTGCTCCTCCTAGGAAAACGATGTAAGCTCGTTGTACGGCTGGGTGTGAACCGCAACAGGAAAGGTCCGAATGTGTTAAGAAATGTTGTGACAGGAAGCAAAGATTCCCATCTGTGCCCCTTTTTAATGACCCTTCTACATATTAAACAAACACTTTACTTTTTGTAATATATATACTTGTTTTCATGGTAACGGTCTGTGGTTGTAATGTTATTGATTGCGTTGGTTGCTCATTAAAAGGAAAGCTGCAGGCGGACCTAATGAAAGAGAACTGGATGCAAAGTTATTGATAAATACTTTATTGATATTATCGATAGAAATACTTTACCCACCAAAACCCCTGAGAAAATCACAAAATCCATCAGCGGGAGGCAATGAGTACATAAGGAATGCCTGCAAGCGAGTCCTTCAAGTGCTACTTCTGTTTCTTCTGAATTCATGGACAGTATAACATTCTTTTTTTAATGCTGATTTGTAAGTGGACTCTTTCTCTTGGCAGCTGTGGGCTGGTCTGCGCTTCACAGTGCCGCGGCTGAAGGACACGCACAAAACTGTTCAGTTTGAGCTGCAGATTCGCAGGTACAACTTGCTGTCAACAACTACCATATAAACTAAAGATACACTAACGTGTGGTTTCAGCAGAACTGATCTGCAAAGCTCTCGAGTGACATCAGCTAATCAGAATCTTTTTTTTTTTTTTTTTCCTCTCCCTGTTTCCACAGTAAAAATGAAAATAATTCCCTCAGTGAGGTCGTGCCTTACAAGCTGGAGGTGGTTGTTCAGGCTGAAGTAATTCTACAAGGGTGAGTTCGGTGTCAGGATTCCCTCATTTGAACTTTAGGAATTTCATTAGGTCTCTGGGGCCTTCCTACACATTCTCTCACATCCCCGCTTCTCTTTTAAGTGTGTCTCGACCAGATAAGGTCTTCTTCCCGCCGGCCAACTGGAAGGTTACCAAGACCTACGAGGCGGAGCAGGACGTTGGGCCCGCAGTGGAACACATCTATGAGGTAATCAGCCGTGCTGTTAGCTGTGCAGACTCATCAGGGCTGAGCAGATTGGGTCCGAAAGCAGACACTACTGTTTGAACTTCCCTGTGCAGCAATGAAGGAAAGCCAAAGAAAATATAAACCAGTGCATGATTTATTGTCAGCTTTTTCTGATCTAGCTGAGGTTCAGAATTAGATTAAGAAAATCTGTCAAATATAAAAGTTCCAGCATGAAAAAAAAGCCTCCCAGCTACAACTAAATATATTTTCCTTATACATCACTGACTACAGTGTTCTTTTTAATTTCCTTCTTGCAGCTGGTGAACAACGGGCCCAGCCGGATCAGCAACACCCTACTCAAGCTGCACTGCCCCCTCAGAGTTCAGGGTCAGACTCTGCTTTACCCCCTTGAGTTCTCCGTGGAAGGCCCCATCAACTGCACCTCCGACAAAAACATGAACCACCTCCGCCTCAAAGTAAGCCGGGCCTGACTCGGACAGTGAACGTCTCCCGCTGGTTTCCACTGTATGATTAACTGTTGCGCCGTCCCGCTGGTTGGCCCACACCCACCTCCTCCTCCCAGCTTGTTAGCCCCACCCAGGACACTAACCTCAGCACCGCTTTGAAGTCCCGTCTCTTCCCTGTGCTCAGAACAGCTTGATGAACCACCTCGCCCAGCAACTCGCTCGTCCTCTACATCCAGCGGCGCGCCCCTTTATACCGAGCTGTAGTGAATCCACGTGGAGAAGATCTCACATGCTTCTAAATAATTACAAAAAGCCTCATACGAACATTTGGTCTTCTATTGACGATGCTCTTTTGCCTGTTGAGAGGTCATCAGTGTCTGTCTTGTTCTAATTGGTGGCGTGTGTATTTGTGTCTTGTATCTCCTTCTTTTAGCTCCAGCACACGTCCACAGAGCCACCTGTCCTCGCGCTGCAGGCACATGAGCACCGCGTCGAGAGGAGGGACGTCCAGAGAAACCCGCTCGCCCATATGACTAATCTGGTAGGAGGCTGAAAGTGCGAATTGTCAGGTTCTGTAAATAAAGCTTGTTACATGCATAGATTGGGCCAAAAAGCCAAGTCTAACAAACTCTAATGTAATAGGGGACTTGAAAGTGAGGAAATGAGGAGCTTGAGTTTACAGTTAAGGGTTTAATGGGCTCATGTGGTTAAAATAATTTTTATGTCGCTTACAGAGGAGGTCGTGTCCTCGTTGGATAAAAGAAACAGAAGGTCTGGACAATATAGATTGTGGTTTATCTTCCATCCGGTTGTGCCGGTTGATATTCTATTTACAACCTGACTGCAATCAAAAAAATCCAATAAAAGTGGAAAGGTTCAGCCTGCCTTAGTTTGCACGCTCCCCGTTTGCTCCTCAGCGTCACGGGAGTCTCTCACCAGCAGCAAGGTCGACAGCTGTGAGCACCAACAATAGCAAAGTTCCTTGTTTATTTTCATCGGGAGCTGTTTTGGAAGCCGGGCTGTATGAACGGGCCGTCAGGGTTGGAAATTTGCCGCTGGATTTAGCGTCCGTTAGCTAGTACTACTACTATACTTGGATTTGACAACACCGGACTGTGCGTTTTAATAGTTTGCTCGGCTTACTTTCGCCGGTGTCTTGAGTTCACCAACCGTAGCGTTGGGTTAATCGCGCAGGTCTGGATCTAGCTTGGCGACACTGGCCCTTACACGAGGCTCCTGGGATCGGGTAATTAGGTTGTGATGTCGTTAAAAGGAAGGGGTCAGAGGCCACAAGCTTGTCCCGTTGTGGTGATTAACATTAAAGAGTCTTTGATAATGGTGGAGGGGCTTATGGGACCTAGGAGGCTTTTCTTTTTTGGTCGGTGATGCACTGGTTACTATACAGACTGCTCTCTAATGTTTGGCTCTGGGTGTTATGAGGCCCCGAGCCCCCACACACTGGCCCTATTGATACAACCAGCTGCAGGTAGCCTTTCTCTCCGCTTCGCTCTTTGAATACCTGCCTCCACCAAAGGGGTCTTTGTCTGCGGCTTGTCGCTTCTAGCCGTGGTCGTTTATCAAGCATGTCCAATGACACCTCAGAATGAAGGACCCCATTCTCCCGTTTACCGCATGTCTGCACTTTTCTTAGACCTTTTTGAAAGGAGACCTCTCCGCTCAAAGTGTGTCTTAATCGAAGTGTGGTAGTGTAAAGCAATGCTCGGGTGAATCTGTCAGCCCGGGTCATGGTGTGATCATTTAAAAAGCCACGCTTAGTCTTTGAAGAGCACAGCTATGCGCGATGACATCCACTAATAATTGAAGGGCATTTTATTTTATGATACTTTTATTACTTTAAAAGTATTTTGTCGTAGCACTCTCATGTGCTGAATTGTGGATGTTCCAGCTGTTGTACAACTTAATTGTTACAGTAATTTGTGGCACCTTTCTAATACGCGACCAGTGCGAAAGGTTTTATTGGTTATTTACAAATGCTCAGTTATAGGAATTTCAAACCACAATGGGGTTGTGATACATTGACAGATGACAGATGTTCAACATGCAAAAGGAATTTTTAAATTTATACAATAAAGTCCTCTAATAAACTTATTAAGTAATGGTTGCTAACAATTATAACTGTATTATTTCCAAATACAATGCTAACCATGTACTGTAGCTGTGTAGTTATTTTACAAAGCTGTGGGAACAGCCTCCTTATTATGACCACATAATCCCACCAGGGAGGATATGTGGGTCTTGGGTCTGAAGCGTCTTTGGCACTGGTCCATGTTCAGGTCATTTCCACAGCCCTTTGTGGCCCCGGGGCTATAAGGCAGTCTATCAGGGGCAAGTGGACTCGTACTGTCTGTCGTAGTACACTCATTACGTCTGCACAAGCCTACGGGAAGCAGGCAGGTCCTCTCTTCTCCTCCTGAGTTGGCTCTACTCAATGTAATAAGTAAACTAATGCACTCGTGCTGGAAACTGCCAAAACCTCTCTATTTTGGGGTGGTCTAGCTGTGGTAACGCGTTTAAAAAGCAGTGTGTGTGTCTTGTTGAGCTGGGTTATGGGGATCTGATTAAGACTATATTTTAGTCTTGAGAAGGAATTGGCCAGTTTTAGTGGTTGGGCAGAAATGAGAGTTGTGCGTGTTGCATTTTTACAGTCTCATGACATTCCTTCAATCTAATTCGAAGCAGGCGTAGAATACTGATCATAACATTGGGCTCTTTGTTATATTTATTTGACCCGCAGCATTAACATGGCTGTTATTTTTCAAGTTCTACCAGTTTTCAGTTTTTTCCCTGTTGGTAAAGTTTTCTTGCCATATCTTCATTTAGGTTGTACTCATGCACAATAATGACTTAAAACTAACATGTTTTTAACTGCTTTTGTGTCTGTTTCCGTAGTCCTGCTCCAATACGGAGTGTTGGAAGCTCCAGTGCACCGTGGGTTTGTTGGAGAAGGGGAACACCGCTATCCTCAAAGTGCGCTCTCGCATCTGGGCCGAGACCTTCACCGAGGTTTGTCGAAGATGACCCTTGCCTGAAAAACTGTACACAAACACGTGTTCCCACCAAATGACAGCAGGCATAGCAGAGGAAATGGCTGTTCCCTGTAGATTTCTGTATTTTCTCATTCAAGCCTTTTGCAGGAAAGGAGAAGCCATTTTTCTTCAAAACATTTAAAAAAAAATTAGATTAACAAATGTGAACCTGGCCCAGGTATGTAGCCACTGTAGTCAGTCTCACCGCTGGTTCTGTTTCCTCTGGATCAGATTTTAAGACTGACATTATGTACAGTCCGACATATTTGCCTCAGCAAATTGCTGTGGCTGCCTGTCACATTGGAGCCACGCACAGACTATTACCCCCCCCCACTTCATGCTGTAGCACTAGGCATGCACATTAATGTATTGAAAATGAATTTGCTGGTATCAGACAAAGTCCTGAAGGAATTTTCTCTAGGAAAAAAAACACGGTCTCTGTCGCCGCCTAGTGTATAAATGTTGGATTGTGGTAATAAAACAAAAATGATATTAACGTTTGCTACTTCCTTCAGAGATCTTACAAGCAGTATGTGCTGGAGTGCCTGGCCAGATACAATGTGGAGAAGATGCCTTACGCCATCTTACCCAAACAGGCTCCCAGTGGACACAAAAAGGTATGTTCATATTTTGTTCTTTCATTCTCTCTGAAAGGGCGTACTAGCGGTTGTGATGTCTGAATTTTTCTGAGAGAAGCTCTGAAAGTTTGTCGTCGTCCACAGGTGGTGACCCCAGTGGTGTGGAATAAGCCAGATTTAGAGAACTCCGTTCCTTTGTGGATAATCATCTTGGCCATCCTGGCCGGTTTGCTGCTTCTCGCTCTGCTCATCTACGTGCTGTACAAGGTTAGTGCTCCTGCAAACCAGTCGATTGGGCGCGTGCTCGTTTTCTAAATTCTGGCTCGTTCTAAGCAATGTTTTCGTCTTGCAGTTGGGCTTCTTCAAGAGATCGCTGCCTTATGGCACCGCCATGGAGAAAGCACAACTCAAACCACAGGCTGCCTCTGAGGCTTAACCAGCCACCGGCGCTACCAGAGCCACAGCACCTGGCCATATGATTGCAATGGAGATGCAACAATGTAGACTGAACCGCAAAGCAGAGGAGAAAAGTAAAAGAGCAACCACTGGAACTCCACCGTGCTGCACTAGAGGAAGACAAAAATTCAAAGTTCTCCAAGCCAAATGAATGTTTCTTTGTGTTTTCTTTTGTTGCTTTTTTTAACTTATGTCTTGTTTGTTGGAAGGTTGGGAGATATTTACTTAATGTGGGCTTTTTCTCAATGCCTGAAGGCTGACATCAAACTCAAAAATGAGAAACGGACTGTAAAGAATGCGCAGGCCTGCGGATGCAGTGCCTGTCGGGTTTCCTCGCGCAGATTCTTGTGGCGGAGAGTTCCTTAAAATCGCTTTTGACTGCCCTGTTTTGGTGCTAATGATCCCACAGGACATGTGTAGCCTGCGGCAGCCAGGAGCTGTGAATTCTGCCGCCTGCTGAGGTCTTAAAGAATTCTCCTGTCCTCATTGTTGACAGATTGGTGAACAGGTTTCGGGTGGGAACATTTACCTGGCTATAGAAACCTCAATACTACAGGCCTAGATGTCCAGAATCCATCCATTTAACACCTCTACTTTTAAAACAACATTTAAAGGTTTTCTTTGGGACCTGACCTGCTTGAGGTGTTCCCCTGATTCTTGCTCAATGCACGCTGGTATATGTGCTCCAGCACCTCGCCGCCCTGAACCGGATAAGCGGGCGCAGGAAACCATAGGTGGATGCTTCCTAACGCGTCTCTCTCTGCCTCAGGTTGGTGGACGGCGCTGGGTTGAGTTGTTTTTGCACTCAAAGGAAATCTACTGATATAATTTCACCCGGGACTGACCTTCCTTTGAGTTCTGATAAGGATCCCCTGCTGATCACTTTGTTTAAATCCCGTTTGTTCGTGTTCATGGTCACCACTGCTACCGTCGTTGTGTAGTCGATTGGAGACCTGCAAAACCTCGTATCCGACTTGAACCAGCGCGGTACTTCCGTCAAACAAAACAAGGTGGCGTTCTTCTCAAGGATATTTCACTCCTGCTCGTTTTGAATCAAAACCACATGCAAGAAATGACAATCAACAATGTTGTAGGCATTTGCAGAGAGTTTGAGTGTGAGAGCAGGTGGGATCATCACTGTTTTTAGCGGAGGGCTGGGTGATATTTTGACTCTGTATCAGTTTAGTAGTGTTGACTATTGATACTTTTACAATTTTTCTTTATGGAATCAAAGTCAGTTGTGTGGATGCTAAAACAGTCTGATGAGTTCATAAAAGGACTTTAAATCCAGCCTTTAAAACTAGCAAATATCATCATTACGATATCTAAGATGATCTCTAGTCTCGTATTACTATATCAGTGTAATAGTAATATACTGCCCAGCCCTGTTGGAGTGTGAAGGATCCAATTCCAGCTCACAGCGTGTAATACAGTTTTATACTGCATTTGTGATTGCTTCTTAGAATAAAAGCTACCAATGTTGAGGAAGAGTTGGTGGAAGTCATCCCACTATCAAAAGGCTACAGGCACCGACGATTAAAATGCTTTGTGTTGGTTTCTTTCACTTGTCACACACATAGATTTTATGTGCCTTTTTTTTATATGTAAATACTTCATGTCTGTGGGTAAGAGTTAAGGTTGTGTGTGTGACTTCATGCATACATGCATTTGTGTGAATGGTATATTTATGAATGTTTGTTTTGTGTATGAATTGGTTAGTACCTTTCCCATTGCCTAGTCCTGTTCATCTGGAGATTGAGGTTAATCGAGTCTACATTGCTAGTTTTACACATTGTAAATCTCTGACCAACAGTAAGCTTGTGGTAGTCAAAAATATTAAAGATTCCATAAAAATCTTATTAAAAAAAAAAAAAAAAAAAAGATCTTATCAACATCACTGCAGGACTTCTGTCATGTCAAACAATCTCATGTTTGACATGACAGAAGTGTATTGTACCCATCCATTCCAAAAATTATTTTTTTATCTGCTGTCCTTTTTTTTTCAATAGGTTAATACAGATGTTACTACATTTAGGTGGAATGTAGTGTGAAATTGATTAGAAACATTATATTCTATTCATTGTTACAGTTGGATTGCGAAACCCCAAACCTGCAGGATGCCTCGTAACCTCAAAAAAGGAGAGCAGCTAGACTCTGGGAACTAAATGTGGTTTGGAAGTGCAATATTTATATTCACTCTTTCGGTTTTCTTTTAAGGTATTACAGTGCTTTCTTTTCATTTTTTTTTTGTCTAAACCAGGACTTCTTGTTTAAAAGTATGAATTGACCGCATATGGTAAATGATTTCTACGGTTCTGGTTTTTCCGTTTCACTTGCTTCCTCACTAAACCCAACTCTGATGTAATCGCCACTTCTTCACTGGACCACTATCTGATGGTACTGGCTTATTTTGTTAATGTTTACAAACTGACAAAAAACAGAACACAGAGAGAACACATATTTTTGTAATTTATGTGCTCTACTGTTGCACCTGACCAAACACAGACGACGTATTAACCATAAGTTTTACATGTGTCTGCCTCCATCATCACACTCATAAACCTCTTATCAGCTAGCGATTTACAATTTGTCAAATGATCCATCAAATCCCCCTTATAGTAGTTTATATAAAACATCAACAATCAATTTTCTGTTCTCGACTCAAAATAGCAACCCATTATTTATAATGATCATTTTACTACTTCTATGGTGACATCAGGGGGAGAAGCCGTGTTTTACTTTCTTTTTCTGGTCTTGGCCCATTTTCGCTCTCAAGGACTTCCAAAAAGGTGTTGTATATATTTATGACAGGGAGTATTTTTGAAATCAAAGGTTAACTGATTTGTTGTGAATTTCTTTCACCCCATATTGGGGAGAACATTTTTCAGGAGAATAGATGGGGAGTGGGAGGGTCTTTAGGTCACTTTTTACCTGTTACAGTTTGTACTTTTAATAAAATATTTCCTTTTTACAAACTTGTGCTTTCATTGACACACATAATAGAGAAAATAATTTATTTAGAAAACATATGAAAGTTAATGCATGTCAGTTAGTGGCGTCATTGCCAGAAAAAAGGATAATCGGGTAAAATGAAACGCTACTAGTGCACAAAAAAACTGAACTAAAGTGATAAGCTCTGTGTTGTGTTTTTATGGCCCTTTTGTACATCCACAGACGGCGGTAAGGACCTTTTTTCATTGCCACACTGTTGCTAGGGCAACAGCTTTGGTCCAAGTTTACCTCCCTTCAGCTACTGCATTAATAAACATTGCAACAGAATATACTAAGTGACCCATTTGTAATGTTAATATATCAACAGTTTTATACAAAATGTTACATCAAGGAATCTTTACACTTTGCTTCACTGTACATGTAGCACAGCTTTTGTTTCCACTGTGGCACACACGCTGTTGTAAGGCTTTTTGGATCGAGAATTGGATCTTCTGGTTCACTTTTAAGGATACAACTGTTCCCACAAGACTTTTTTCCCCTCTTGATGGTGTGCAGAAAGCTCATCAATCGAAGTCCTTGCATTAACACTGCAAACAGCACCTCCAGACGTCCATCTACGGTTCTACAGTCTTTATACATTTGCGGGATGTTGCTCTAGCATTCTATTGTTCTGGAGAGCTGTGTCAGCTTGCGCTGGTTATCGATCACTTTCAGGTTCTGAATGTAGTGTCGGATGCTGCTGGGACTCCGCAGAGGAAAGGCGAGCTCGGAGTCTAGGTGAGAAGAAAAAAAGCACTTTTGACTGAGCTCATATACTAAATCTTCCTTTTCATTTTTTTTAATCCAGTACAATTTAAAAAGACTAATGTCAGAAGAAGGCAAATGATGAACCGTTTTAAGTCTGTTGAGCCTCACCATTTGCTACAGGGATTGCGTATAACAAAACATGACCAAACTAACTGTTAATGTTATATTAATATCACTAACATGTAGATATGCGAGTGGAAGGCCCCTCCAGAAACATCCGATCTGCCAGGCCCCTCTGTGGAGACGATGGCACTGCAGAAGAGAAATCAAAGTTTATCTTCTTCCTGCATCATTCGACAGAATCCTTATCCATTAACTCCGGCCTGCCTGCCTCTGCAACGGTTGGGCCATTTGAACGGATCCCATGCCGGTGCTATTGGTCTCAACCATACTCACCATACGGCTGGCTTCTGCACCCTCGTACAATTTTCACTGTCTTGGCAATCATTCGCTGTCAGAGTGGAAGGATGTGGAAACATTTCAGGTCCATGGTGTAAGGAGGACATAATGGAGCTTTCCAATGCTGCAATGTTTTGATTTTCTCTCTTACCACTTTCTCGAAATTCACCAATTTGTCTACGTAGTTTGGATTTCCATCATTGATGAACGTCATGTCTGCAGATAACGGAGCACATGTCAGAGATTAATTGTCATTTTCATTCCAACGCTGTGCAGGTGAAACTGGCGGTATCATCACCTTTGAGCAGCAGAGGCATGAAGGGGATGTAAGGAGGACTGAGTTTGGCCACAGCCAACCTGTAGGCCCTGTGGTTGCGTGAGGGATCCTATAAGGAGCGCAGAATCAAGAAAGCAACAGTTAATTAAGAGTTTGGGAGCATGTACACAATGTACTGAATACGAGCATCTTGTGCAACTCACCATCAACCTCTCATAAGCGCAGTAAATTCGTTTGATCTTGCTGGGTATTCTCTGGAATAGACAATAACACTTTTTGTCATTTAGTGGATTATGATTGCATCATCATTTACGGTTGCATTCAGGTGTTCCTCACCTCCCAGGTCTTGTAAAGCCTGTGCACTGCACTGTTGCTCAAACCGAACATCACGGCAAAGAACGAGTTGAGATTCTTCTGTTCCTTTAATCTGCAAGAGAGAAGACACATGGTTACAAACCATTGTTCTCCAAACGTATCGATGAGGCGTATTGTTCATCGGATTGCAGTGGTTTGAAATATTGAAATGATGAGGGTCGGTCGTGAGCATAAATGTTGCGCTAGAATAAAAGGGACCACAAAAGTCAGTAGGCCCAATCCTCTGTAGGACACGAATGATTGTAACGAAAATAAAAATAAATAATATACAGTTCAGTCAGTGTGGACAAGCCTGCACTGACCACCAACACAAGGTTTTATGCAACTAACCCTTAACTTACACTGCGGCAATCTTTATGAACTTCTTGAGCAGAATGGCTCGTTTCACCAGGTCTTCACAGATGCACAGCTCGGTTACCACCCAGTACTGCACCTCGTTGAAACGACGCACAAACCGCTCCAGGTTAGCCGTGATGGCACCGGGGAATTTATGTAGGCCGAATATGTAGTAGACCAGCTCCACCTGCAAAGACAACATTTTTTTTTGCATTACATTTTTTTTTTAAAGTAACTTAATAAGCATGATTTGCTTCAGAAACATGTGAAGCATGCAGGAAGTGTTATACTGGAGAACCACATTCTCTGATGGCTCAGGGCCAATAGGTGTGACTCAGGTACATTCATCAAAGAGATACCCTGTCCTTTGTTTTAATGAGGACATTTTAATACTGTACATACAGAAGTGGTTTATTTGCTGCGGTGAGATATCTGCTGGAGTTACCTCATGCATGGCAGTGAACAGTTCCCAATCGTAGTTGGTGAGCTCATTGGCGATGTCTTTGGAGCCCATCTGTTCAAGGAGGTCAGTCGTTCCTCGCTCTGGACCTTGCTGTTCCTTCAGGGGCATCTAGGAGAACAACACAAAGAGGGAGAGGAAATGAGAGAATAACAGATTCATGATATAATATATGATTAATTATAAACGTAATGAGAAATCTCCTGGTTTATTTAAAAAAAAACAATATGGAGAGCATCTACTCACCAGTTTTTCTGCTTGGCTGCTTGTGCAGATGAAGAGTCTCTCGTTGAGGCCCAGAGCCGTGTAGACTGCATTCGCATCCATCTTTAACTGAGCTCTTTCTGTATATGAATAATGAATCAAAAAACAACTTTTCAGCATTCTGAAGTGACAAAGATACTTAGAAAATCACATTAGTATACAGCTCTGACCGCAATTTAAATAAAAAAAGATTTCATGAATGTGTCTCGTCACACCTCCCATGGAGTTCATTTTGACCAAGATGTGATCCCCGCCAGGTTTGACGATAGCTGACATCACATCCTTTACAGATGTGTTCACTGGGAGCATCAGAGTGAGAGGTTTGTTGTCTGGCCTGTAAATCTCATACAGCACTGCAGTGAGACAGGGGACAATAGACAAAATGTCAACATACGAAGATTTGATCGTCGATTAAGTGAATATTGATGTTTTATTATGAACAACACCCACAGATACGTGAGGTTGTGAAGTTACTCAACATGTATTGCAAAACGTTCTGGTGATACACTGATAGAAACAAGTTAAGTTTGAATGATGTGAACTGACTTGATGGGTTAATTTGTTTTTAGTCTTACTCGCCTTTATCTTTAGCTCTGATTGGTTGTAACCTCCCCACTGGCTCCTCGCAGTTTGAAAACCAATCGAATGGCTGATTCTGTCGAGAGCGTCAGAGTGACTCCGCCAGTCAGTAACATTAAGCTGACAAATGACAGAAGCTTGGCATTCTGTTTTCTCATTAAAATGTATCGCCGATGGTAAAATGGTGCAGCCGGCTGTCGCATGCAAAAAGACAAGACGCTCACCCTGCTCAATGTCTGGTATCCGTTCTCCGACCTGTAAAACAAGAGATGAAAAAAAAGAGTTCAGGCCTTCATGCTGCAATAGTCGTGCCGTGGGGAATGTCTCAGTAACAGCAGAGCTTATGAGAGGATGTGGATCATTTACACTTTTGTTCTCCTCCTTTCCCTGAATTGTTCTTTCAGTATGCTGAACAGACGGAAATCTCCCGCCACCTCCTTCTTCAGCCTCTGTTTGAGCCCAACCATGGAAATGACAACACAAAACAAACATAAGTATGGATTCTACTCATCAAAAAAAAAGAAATATCGTTGTTCGTATTGAACAAAAGGATAAAATGCGGCATGCAATCCCAACCTCCAAAGAGTCCAAGGCAACAGGGTCTTCTTTCAGCAGAAGGCCATACAGTGCCACCCACTGGCCGATCAGCTTGACCACCTTCTGCTTGGTGGTGAGGATGTAGGAAGCCTGCTCCTGCTCTGAACCCTCCGACAGCTCCGCCTGATAGGTGCGACGACGGTTAAGGGGCAATGTCACAGCAAGCTTAATCATCGCCAGCGGGGGCGGTACACAGTGAATTCATTCATCGGCATCGCTGCGTGCTAATATCTCAGGATATTGGTGCTGTAGTGCAGCACACAGCTGGCTGGTGGACATGAAGACCTTGTGAGTGAGGAGAAAGTCACTCACACATGGATCTGTGAGAGAAGAACCACAACAACACGAGTTGAATTGGGACAAAACTATAGACACGAATGGTAGTAAAATAAACACCTAAATGTGTATTTTGGATCTCAAAATGAAGCAGTGCTTTGAAAATGAGCTTTAATAAAAACAGGGAAACAGCAAGAAGGGTCCCACCTATTGAGTCGTTTCCATTGGAGTCCAACTTTATCGTTTCCAGTAGGTGTTCTAGGATTTTCTCAGGTGTTCCTGACATAACTGTGTACCTGCACGAAACAGAACAGAAGAGAGAAAGAACAGAATATTTTTCCAAATGTTCACATTTCCTTCGTATTACTCTGCATGCATGTGCTTTTCTTGCATGGTATTGTCCGTTGTGTTATTAGTGACTGATAACATAGTATGATGTCACTTTCATTGCAATTTCTCTTGTATTCTACTTCAGATGCTCGTAATTTATATTTCTGCATATTGAGTTGATTAGACGGGTGTGAATGTAGGAACAGGAGTGTCAATCGCAGCGGCTCAGGTCCGAAGATGCCAACCTGGAAGTGCGTTAGGCCTCTTTGTCTTTCGCCTCTCGTTTCAGGGACATACTAAAACTCAGCGTTAGACACGCACAGTGATTCTAAGGTGCCAAATGAATTGGATTGTACATTCGTACCTTTGTAGAAAAAGGGATTTAACTCCGACTTTCCCACTCAAATATTCAGTGGTGGTGATTCTTAGACGAGCCTAAGAAGGATATGATACCAACGTCAATCTGCCAACTTATTGAATGATTATACAACTGGGTGTTGTTTTAATGTGAAAATCTGCCCTGAGGGAAATCAGGGCAGATTATTCTGCTGATAATGTTTTATAAAATGTTTGACTGTATATACTAGATTACAGTTGATTGTTCATGTGACTGTTAAGGCTGGAGGAAATGCAACAATATGGCTGCATGTGTTGTGTGAACTTCCTTTTGATTTATAGATATTTATCAATAAAAACAAAATATTTGAGACTTGAAGGATCTTACAGTTAAGATATCAGTTAATTTCTCTTCAATCCCAGTCAAGGGCTGATTCTAATCTTTCAGTTTTATTTGTTGGATAACACTGCTTGTTTTTTTAATATTTTAAGCAAACTAGTGCTGTCTGTGTGTGTGTGTGTGTGGCTTAAAACTGCTTGAACTGTTGCTTTCGAATAGCTGTATTTATCGCTTTACTACAGGCCACAAGAAGATAGTTGAAGGTGTGCAAGTGAGGGAGGTCAACACCATTCTTCTTGACTTTTTCTGTTTGCTAAAACACTTTCAAGACTGATAACAGGTAATAACACACCGCAGGGTTGAAGTCCATTCCTTCTCCCCTGGCGTGTCAGATAACAGCATTTAATTAGACCTTAACTGCGTTTGACAGAAAGATCTGCATGCTCGTTATGATGACAAATAGCTGCATTGGTGTTGTTGACGCAGAGTGCGGTATCGGCCCACGCCCGCGTAGAGGAGGGCTTTAAATGGTCGTAAACCCGATCGTGGCGTGAGTGTAAGGGTTGTCTCACTTGCTGTTTCCTGCCCCTCCCTGCTGGGCCCACTCGGTTCTCTTCTCCAACACCAGCACAGTCTTCCCATGCTCCTCCAGTCGCACCGTGTTGGCTTCCACATCCTGAAGCGCGAGAAAGAAATACACGGAGGAGAGCTCAGTCAAATGCATATTGTGTGTGTGTGGATTTGAATTTCTGATGAGTCAAGGACACACCTTGAGGATGCGTATGAAGTCCTGCTTATCAACGCGGAGGAAATGGCAGTTGTCTTCTCTTAAGATGATGGTGGCGGAACGAGGGGCATCATTCAGCAAAGCCAGCTGCCCAAAGTCCTCACCCTCATGTAGCGTAGTGACCAGGCCCTGCGCGAACAAAGCACTTTCAACATCACAGTGCGCTAACAGACAATCTCACCAATGCCAATTCAGACATTTCTTATTATGGCAGAAAAGAATGAATGGATTTACCTTCCCATGTGTGATCACATTTACAGAGCCTTTCCAGATGATGTACCAAGAAGTCCCTTTTTCCCCCTGACTGAACACTGCGTCACAAAAAGACAGTCGTGACAAACGTTGGTCCCTTTACATGTGCCGTTTTTTACGAGGGGCTTTGCTATGTACACATGACTAGAAGGGCACAGTGAGACGAGGAGAGAAAAAAGGAACTGACTTCATCAATTGTGATTTCAGGCTGTTTGACTATTATACAGATAATATATCCAAAAGGTGTGTTGCAGAAAAAGTGCAAGCTTAAGAGGCCATTCACGCCCATGTTGGTGGTTAAACTGGCCCAATGAGCATGAAGCAGAGCACTCACAGACTGCTCCGGCCTTGGCATGTGATTCAAAGACCAGCACCGCTGCCAGCTCCTTACGCACCTACACACGCACAGCAGGCAAAGAGATTAGAAATGCATTGATTAATGCTAATGGTTCTTTGATAATGGTTCTCCCACAAACACAGCAAGTTCAAACAAGGGTCCAAAAGTTATCTGGCCCTGCTCCATGGACTTCACTGCCTCCCTTTTTAGATTTTCTTTTCTTTTCTTCAGTCACGTTTTGTGAATTTCGGGGTTGACGGTTCGGTTCAATTTGTTTTCCATGCACAGAAAAACTGCATACAGTGGCTTTAATTATAAGGACACAGATGTGAGGACTTGGCCCTAAAAGTAACTCACCGAGGTGGAGAGATGAGCTACAGCCTTGACATGGAGCAGCTCCTCATAGATGACCTCCAGGTCCTCGGCACTCCTCTGACTGGGGCTAAACACAGACGTCAGTTGTAATCGCCCGCGGGTGCACGTTGTTAAAAGATGCAAGCTGGGCTGTGTTACTTATTGGTACTTATTAGTTATGTGAAGGCTGAACATACTTACCACTTGCGTAGAATCATAGTGAGCAGAGCGTCGGGTCCCAGCTGAGATAACAGCGACAGGCTCTCCTGCAGCTCCTCCTCGGAGTCCTTCTCGTTGGATATGTGGTTCAGTCCAAACTCGGAGTCCTGGAAGCGGTAGAATTGGGTCTCCTTGTCATGGAAGTTCAATTCATGTTTCACTTGATTGAGGCAGAACACAGAAGAGAGGAAACATGAATGTAAATATAAGATCCTGGATACAAATGAGGTGATTAAAACACAGGTTATTTTACAGAAGGAAATAATTAATAGATTTTGACCTTCAGGAGAATAACTTGTGGTTACTTCACGAAACTGAATGACAAAGACACATGGAAATAAGATTAATTTATTCAGAGTGATCCCCTTCATCTGATGATGAAGCATCCATATCCTGATTGGAGTGGTCTTGTGCAGGGAGACAGAGCCTCGCCCAACGAGCAAAAGCGTTTCATGAAGACTGGACTGAGTGGGAACCTTTTGTTAAATCTACGGCCAGGCAGGCTCACTGAACCGATTGCCTGCTCCTCAAGCACTTCGGAGGAATTCTTAAGTGCAGCCTGAGACGTGAGTGTCAGAATATGTTTTAGAAAATACATACTTCTACAGCCCATTAAGGCATGAGCTCGCCCAACATATATGGTAATTTGGTAGATGGTATTTCTCTCTGTTGTGAAGCACGAAGCAAAGTTATAAATCCAAACAAAGGTGGATTAATAACTTTTCATCGAACACAGTTCGGCAGAATGCAGCAGTGTATTTCTTACCATGAACAAGGATTCCTTCGTCCACCAACACCTGCCACATTCCAACTGCTTGACTCCTGGATTGAAGGCATTCATTTTGTTTCATCAGCCAATCCACAAGTTCCTTCCCCGAACTACATTGTCTGTGAGAGAAACGTAATATTTGAATCGGCATACATTTTGCAAAACGTTATTTCCCGATATGGAAGAGAGTGTTGGTACCTGTATGTTTTGAGGTGATGCTTTCTGTCTCTAATCAGACCTGGGTTCCCATCGATCATGACACTGTGGACCGACCTCGCTGCCTTTACCACACGATCTGAAAGAAACTTAACAAACAGGAAATAAAAAAAAGCAGTTAAGCAATTGGATCTTACTGTCAAAGTTATTTATGAGAGTTGTGTTCACATTTATCATGTGACGGTTAGCGAGGGGGGGGTGTACTTCTTAAAGAAGAAGAAGAATAACACTGGCGGTCTTGTTAACTGAAACAGCCACCCGGGGTGCTGGAAAAAAAGGTGGCAACCAAAAAAAAAAAAGAAAAGTTTGCATGTATAAGTGTTCCTGCATGCGAGGATCCTGTGACGAGATGCGCGTCATGCATGTGGAGCCCACGTGTGGGCGTTTAGTGCTGTATTGCGGTGCGTCTGTGGGTTGCAGGGAGGCGCGGAGGTGTTAAAAGTGTCTGTGCTAAACTCTCCCACGTTGAGCTCCGTGCCTCTGCCACCCGGCGACAACAAACTCTCACTTTGTGACCACCCTCAGCACATTTCCTTTCTCAATTATTTCCACTCCCCTCAATCCCACCCTCTGACACACATACACACGACCTGCTTGAGTCGGGTCGGGTCTTAAAAGAAACGAGCCACTGATGCAGAAGCAAGGCTTATGTAACGAGATTGGGCTTTGTTTTTGCCCTGTCCCATTTATTGCTTTACACGACACACTCTGCTTCTATTTAAGAAAATAACTAATTGGACGGTATGGTTGACTGGAGGACACATCTTTGTTGTGCTTCCCTCTGTTAGGCTTTCTCTCTCACAAAGTCTGTGCAAAGTCTTGTGACTTCTCGAGTGACTGAGATGGTTTCTTGTTATTCTTTGGATTTTCCAATTTTCTTTGAAGAGCCTCTGGCCCAGGGTGTTGGCCTAGAGATGTAAACCCAACAGCAACCATTTCCTGTTTTAGTGCACTCTCTTCTTAGTACCAATGTAAGGAAGAAATGCTTGCCTACACATTTGACCTTTTATAATGTTCTGCAACTCCTTCATGATAAGCTGCTGAAGTGCGACCGATCAACTGTCCGCTTTGCGTTCGATGGCGCCATCGCAGTCTTTGCTCTTTGGGGACTGTGACATGTGCTTGTTGGATCTACGTTCATGCAGGACTGCTTGTTATAACAGACTACTGTGGGCAACTCTGTACAGCAAAGACTGCAACCTATCGCCTCAGCATGGGGCTGTTCCCAGACCTGACATCGACAGAGTAACCCAAATGTGCCCCAAAGCGTCGGCTGTGCCCCTCTGGAGCTGTGCTGTCGAGAGGTCAGCGCTTTTCCCAGGGGCCCGTTTCCCCCTGGGACTCACATTCTCAGGCATGTCAGAGGCAAAAGCCATTTTCTTGATGGGGCCATTTTCCATTACCTAACCCCCGTCTCTCTAAAAACAATATCATGAGCCATATTTCACGAAGGAGAACCTCCGCTGCTGAAACTGACCATCGTGTAAACATGCAGAAACATTTTCTGTCACTGGGATTTATTCTAGTTCTGGCAGTCTGCCTTAAACAGTGTGTTGCCTATTCTATCAATGTAGGTCACCTAATCATGGCATCTAGAAACTACTGTGGGTAATTGTTCCAAGTGAGTTGAATTACAGGACAAACACCTTTGCCCAAAAAGGTATTTGCACCTGTAAGTGTAGCAATGACCGACACTGCACGGCAGTTATTACCAGTATTCATCTAAAAATACGGATAAACGTATTACTTATTTCATTACTCCACAGCCTGTACATGTTTATACATATATGCTCACTTGAATGCAAGAAAGTAGAAATATCGCAGCACAATCACACCTGTATATTAGTTTCTTTAATGTCATTGTGGCCCTTTCTGAAAGTGTGAGTCATAGTCTTTTGAAGTTTATTGTACGTGGTTCGGTTCCATTGCATGCGTTTTTGTCAGGTGGAATAATGATGAGAACATTTATCCGCTGTGTCTCTCCTCTGTGGGCGAGAAATATCTTTCTTACTCAGTGACCTTAGTGGGCCGTGCTGAGTGAGAAGTGGCTACAGATGAACACTGGGAGCTGAATAGCAGCGTTATGCAGCTTTTTGGACTGATGAGGCCCTGTTTTTACTTTCTCCCTCTTTGAGAATAAAACCCACACTTCAGGAGGCAACATTTCTATCCGTGACAGATGTGGGTTCTTTCTGGCCTGCGATTGGGTTGTTTAGCATGTGATCTTTCAATTTGTAGCTGTACGTCATGTGAACTCGCACCTCTGAGCTACACGAGACGAGCATGTGAAAATGGCCTGAAAAGGGCAAACACAATAAACAGTATAGTTGTGCACAATATGTTTCACGGCTCCAAAGCGCTGCACCTGCAGAACAGCACAAACTCAGTCAAAGGAAAGTAAAACGTATGTGAGAAGTATTTGTATAACATGTCAACAATGTGTTATTAAGCTTATGGTCACATTTGATGGTTATTAAAAAAAGCATCCGTCTCGTGTAGTATTATCTAAATGTATGATTCTCATTAGTGACTTTGGATCTGGAGCCGACACTCCCATTAACTAAGCAACTGAACAAAGCTAGAAGGTCCCAGGATGTGGGAGTATGGGAGAACTGGGCCGGGCAGGGCTCGGTTAGTTGAGGGGCCCTTGAGTGCCCTTTAGACGCCCTGTGACTAGATGCTCGTCCGCTGTGTTTTTTTTAGGATTTGCTTGGGTAGTAACGCAGGATATAATAGCAGCTAAAGAACAGCTTCAGCAGTTTGAGAGGATGCAAACACTGCAACTCTGGTTGACAGCCGAGTCGAGTCACGAGAAAGGAGCGACGTCCAGGCTGGTCAAAGTTTAAGGACTCACATTTAAGGGATACGCCAACAAGTGTCAGCTAATTTTGAGTGGCAGATGGAAAGCCTGATGTGTGCCTTACAAACCTGATTGTGAAATTCACCGCAGGAATTTAAAAATACCTGTGAGAAGGATGGATTGCTTCTGATGTGTGTGTGTGTGTGTGTGAGTAACAAAGCTATCCATCTCTGGTATACACACCTGCTTCATTGTGTCCTTTGAATTCAGGGCCTCTGGCAGCGGAGTCTAAGAGAAACAGGAAGAGAAACATTATCACACCCGTAGCTGTTTCTTCATATCCAAAGCCTCTGAAATAAAGCAGATAACTTGCTTTGGAAAAGCATTACACAGGAACAAGCCGGACTGGTCGCCTATAATAATCTTGGTGCCGTTCCACCAAATAAACATATTAACCAAGCTGGACTGGCCAGATAGAAAGATTCCTTATTTTCCTTTCATTGTGATGAAGGTCAACGCAAATACATTACAGACCTACGATGTGTTGCCATCGTCTCCAACGAGGAGTGGGTGCGTGTGATGAAGTAGGAGGGAAGAGTACAAAGTACAACGCCTGTGGCCACGCGTTTTGTCAAGTGAAAAGGTTGCTTTTAACTGTGGACAAATATTTTCTACTGAAAAGGCTTTTGAACATCCAAACCACGGGAGTTAATGCGCTGCAGCAGTGCCAACATGTAAACAAGTGTAGTCTTTTTTATTATTTTCTGGGGAATAACACTCTTCACAAAGGCAGCGTCAGCCCTATTCTCCCGCCCAGGGACAGGAATGTGAAGTGCAGACTTGCGTGCCGTAGTGGCCGACCGGCCGTTGGACCATAGAGGGAACGAGAACTTGATTCTAATACACCTGCATGTCAAATAGAGCACGCCGTAAAGTAAAGAGCGAGACATGTATGTGCCCTCGCACAGGTAAACCCAACCAAATGTAAGCTTATCCTGCACAAACTTTACCCGACCCCCCCATGTAAAGCGTGCCCAGTATGGAACGTGCGCGCCCAAAGTGGTTGGCAACTACAGCCCATGACAGAAGTGTTGGACCAGGTGCAGCTGTTGGTAGTAACATGAATAATTTGGATTAACTTCTAGAGCATTAAACTGTTACTATTAAAAGCATCAAGATATTAATCATAAACTGTCTGCGAATGCAAACGGGGGTTTGAGAAGTACAACGCAAATTGAGGGGAACAGATATGTTAAACGTTGTGTGGGAAATGTGAAAAAGCTCAATGTTGCCAATAGAAAAAAATGTGTAATTTTCTATATTTGCATCCATGCAAGGTATTTGTTGCCACTGAATATTCAACATTTACATAATATAATATTTTACAGGCACTGCATTTTTTACTACCGTCTTATCATGGGTGGCTCAGGTTGCAAAGCCACACAGTTACCTCTGTAAATATTAATCTATGTGCTGTGTTGATGCATTGCATGCGTTGTAAAATGTGCCAACTAAATCACTGTCATCTATCTCTCCCATCACATCACTGATATACATCCATGAAGTGTCTCCAGCCCTTCTAACACACTTTACGACATGTTTTGTCTGCTGTGTCACATGATCATAGCCCAGATGACACACGGCCAATTATTTAATCTAACAAGCTCTGTTACTGTACAGGTGAAGAGCTTGATATTTGGATATTGGTCCTAACAAAAGAATAATCGACTGAATACGACAGAATATGACAGTTATGACCCAACAGAATTGTTACCTGCCCCCTGACTAGACAAATACCTTGCATTCATAAAATATCTTTTATGGTGTCTTCCTGTCTGTCAGGTATGAACGAGCAATAAAGGCACGATAGTGCTCTTGCTTCTCCTGATAATGCCAGACGATAGAGCTCAGTCGGGCCCCTGAAGCTGTTAGTATGTATTAGCTCAGCGGAAGAATTGACGAATGCCACAATGCAAGTTAAATTGAGCTTATTATGCCTAAATAATTAGAGAAACTGGACCCCATTCTGGAAAAAATATTGCTTTACACAACTTTGATAATTGCACATTACATGTTAGACTTGATATTAATGTAATAATTGTGCTATTGCCGTAGATACCACGGCCTTTGTGACAGTACAATCTTCTCAAATGTGAGATCTAAATTGTAAAATATGATGACGTCAGTGAATTTAATCATTAGTACTCAAGTTATTGTCAGTAAACACAAAGTGACTTGGTGGAAGTTAAACATCTGAGAATATGGGTTATATATAGTATATAATAGTTCTTTTTACATTCAAGGATGCATTTAAATGGTCGTGAGGTGTCAAACTGGCATGCCAGATGTGTACGTATACGTTATTTAGAATATAATATGTCTAATTGTAGTTTATGCTTTTGAGTTGATTTATGAAAAGATATTTGGCTGGTCAGCAGGAAGTTCCGTCTTTAAGATTTACAATCACCGTTTGGTAGTGCTGGTTAAATGTCAAGTATATTTAGAGCCTCGCCGCTGTTCTGTGTCTTCCTGTGACCTGCAGACAAAACCTCCCTTTTGTGAATTCCTCCACATACTCTGTAAACTTAGCGGGGATGTTGTGGTGAAGGTGGACTATCGACAATACAATACAATAAAAAAAAGAGAGACTGTGATGATGTGTTGCAATCCTACACTCATGTCTGCTAAAACAATAGAGAGATCTGCTTCGAATCACTTGAAGCATTTTGTAATATCGTGCCAGCTGCTATTTTGGGGAACCCGGTGAACACCTTTTCCCCCCAAAGCTGCTCTCTGACAAACAACAACGTTCTCCACCTCTCATGCAACTCATTTAACCACAAGATGTATTGCAGTGTCCTCATAATCCGTAGGGTTGTGACCTAAACATATAAAGGCAATTTTACTCTATTTAATACCACAATTGACGACCTTTTTTTTTTTTTTAAACAAACAGCTTCTAGTGACTAATTCAAGAAATTCACAGATACAAAGTGACATCTTGCAGTGGATGTTTTGCGATGAAGTCAAAAGTTTACAACAGACAGACAGACAGGCTGATAAAGATGATCAAAACAACCCCAGCGGTGTGTGACCCGTGCATGCGAGTGGAAGTAAAGCGCTGCGTACCCAGCTGATGCCCCGTATGCTCGGTGTCTCCACCGAGGAGCGGTCCGGGTACACTCGGTAGTTGTGACTCCGAAACAGATGCATCTCGTCTCAGATCCCAACGATCGACACGCGACTTTCCCAATCAGAAGATCCGCGCACGGACTCGGCACCTCCAGGCATTCTTTTTTTTTTTTTTCGCAAAGTAGATCGCTCATTCCTGCACACGGACCACACGACGCAGCCACGGCGCCGCCTCGGGGCTGCGCATTTCGTCCCTTTAAAAAAAACTGTTAAAAATAAATAAATAAAAAATTACAGTTAGGATCCTGTACGTCGTCCCTGCTTCCAAACCCGGACAGACGCGTCTGCCTCGGTTAGGGTGTGAAGTCTCCGGGCATCCCACGCAGCACAGGCGCACTGCTGAGCTGCGTGCGTGCGTGCGTGCGTGCGTAATGGAACTACTCCGGACTCCTCAGAGAGAGAAAGCCTCCTCCGGCATTTCTCACCGCTCAATCACCAGCGTTTGATTGATTCAACTTGACCGCGTGGGCTGGTGCGCACCGTGGGACAGTTTGTCCGGTGCGTTAAAACGTGCCGGGAGGTGTACTGGGCTCATACTAAAGTACACGGGTTTCACTGAGGGCACAGCTGCTGTTGAAATGTGACAAAACCTGTAAGGCACGTTTAATTGCGCTGTACGTTTCAGCCACCTGGAAGTGCTTCATGCGAAACGTCAAGAGCAAATGCGATAAAGAAACGCATCAGAAGACATGCACATGCAAAATTTCATTTCAAAAAACTAAAGCTAAAATGTGATTGATGAAATACAAGAACAACAGTGCAGTGTAAAAAAATGATTTCATTAAAGGCAGCAGCAAACCAAAAAAGCCTTCCTGTTTAAAAAAAAGCCTTGTGTTAAAAGAAGTGAGAGTTTTCTGGGAGTTTGTCCTCAGATGTGTGGTGCATAAAAAAAAACAGAACGCTGCTCTCCATGTTTTGACTTTGGGGACAAAGAGCAGACTCGCTCCACACGACACTGAAAAGTCCGGATGGTTGGCAAACAATCAGAAATAAACCACTCGGTGCTTTAACCAAAACAGCAGCGTTAAATCAATTCTCGGACTGACGGGAACCCAGAACTCTGGAGTAATGGAGCATCTCTCCATCTCCTCTTTTAAAAAGGCCTCGTCCCTGTGAGCCACATCTCAGAGAAACGGCCCGTTTGGCAGTTCACCTGCCCTGTAAACTCACAGGACTGAGTCAAGGTTAATAAAGGAGTCATAATGTTCCATGCGGGCACTATGTGGTCTAGTTTGTTCAGTGCAGTAGCTCCTTACGGCGCACTTGAGCTTCAGAACTCTGTACACACACACACACACACACACACACACTTATCTGGCTGTCCAGCTGGCCGGCTCAAGCGGGTCTGTTGCACATGGACATGCAGATAAACTCTTTCAAGGGCAGAAACCATTTAGTTTGTGGAACAGCACTTGGTGGTCTCATTAATAGCTTTGCTCAGTTGTAATCATCAATTTGCTGACAGGTGTCCTTTGCACAAGTGTTGAACTGTCATATCTGTTTTATGGATTCAGAAAACTCATAATGTTGTATATTGTCCCGAAAGGTGAATAGTTTAGCTCGGAAGACACATTTGGCCTGTTACAAACTCACATATCTTTATGTTTGTAGGTCAGACCAGACATTGTTGTTCCATTATATTTGATGGACCTTATTCATGTTGTGTAGGCAGATGACTTACTTCCCCGTCCACTGGTGTGCAACGTCTCGGTGTGGAACAGACAGACTTCTCCATAGAGAGGATGGCTTGAACAGTAACTGTGGGAAATCAACAAGAAGACGGGATACACTTATTTTCTTTAAGACACATGTGAAAGCATCAGTCCAGCCTGTTTGTGGATGATTGTCCGAGGATTTGCAGACTGCACGTCGAACAAGGACAAGGAGATCCTCCACAACCCGTGTACCTCCAGTTCGAACTGTGTGCCGGAGCCTGCCGATGTTACGTGAGACTTGTTTAAATCCCTGCTATTGTTCCAGCGCAGGGCCGCCCTTCCTGTACTGACCTCAATGAGTCAGTTTGCCACGGCTTTCCCCAAGACACACACACACGCACACACACACACACACACACACACACACACACACACACACACAGACGAAAACACTAAGTCTGTCCTGCTCCTGCGCTTTGGTTTTGGTTGTTCATCCTGCTGAAGAAGGAGGGCAATTTATTTAAACTCCCTTCTAAATATTATTATCTAGTCCAGCACCTGTTTGTCACGTCTGTTTAGGCCTTAGTGTTACTTTCCCGGAGTTGCACTCCGTTAACATTTGTGTTGAGCGAATGCCAGAAGCCGAGAGAGAGAGAGGGAGAGAGAGAGAGGGGGAGAGAGATCAATTCGCTTTGAATGAGAAGGCCTTTTCATTTGAATGTCACAACATAAGTGACATCCATCGCCTGCCCTGGAATTTAAAGCTGCTGCGAGACGACATAATATCATCATAAGAATCCCTCTGAAAAAAGACAGTAACTTCTTACCAAGTTTAGACCCCGTGACCTCGGTGATGGATCATGGGGAGGCTGCAGTCAACATAAGCGATTTCTCCAAGTGAAGCTGATTCTTTTTTCTTGTAAACTTGTATGACTCTCCGTCTCCACGAAATGCTTCACAGGGTCTCTGCGATGCCGAGTTAAGACAGTACACAATGAAGGAATCCAGCTTCCCTTCTCATGACCTCCCGAGGGTATGTTAAAGAGATAGTTTGGCTGATAAGGACCAGCACGTTGCCGCTTGATGATATCTGACAAAAGTGACTGTGTCGTGTGCACAGCAGGATTTTTGCAGAGAATAATGTGCCTGGGATACATTGTTGTTGTGATGACTTAAACACAAAACAACAACAGAACAAACTGCCTCCGTTGTAGAGGTCTGATCTGCGCTGGGTGGGAATCATAAACGATCGGTTTATGAAAAGTTAAAAAAGCAGAGAAGGGATGGCGATCGCTTTGCTGACCTCGTATTGAAAGGAAAGAACATTCCACGTGCTACAATGTCGGGTGATCTTGTTTGAGGTTCAGAACATTTTGTCTGTCAAAAGGTTCCTTCTGACAGAAGAGTAAACTACTGACCACTTAAACTCTTCTGGTACTCTGGTACCTGATCACCAATTGACTTTAAAAACAAATGCTGCTCTCTATTGAAAGTACAGGTGCACTGCAATCTCAATAACTCAACTAAGTGGAGAGAAAATCCATGTTAACATCAGGCAAATGTTAAGTATATAAATGATTATAGTGGATTCAAGTCTGATAGACGGCTTACCTTTATAGGAATCACTAAACAAAAAAACAACTAAAAACGGACTGACATGGATGCACTTATATTTTATATCTTATATTTTATATATGTAGTTTATTTTTATCAACTAAACCAATAACATGTTTTGTTTATCTGCGGTTCTCTCTCCATTTCTTTGTATTTATTTTTGTGTTTCTATTTAGATCCTCTGGGAAGGGGAGTGGGATTTCCTGCAACACATCTACGCCCAAGGAATGTGTACTTTGCCAACTGTCTTTGTTGTGCCTGTCTGGTAGTGCACACACACACACACACACACACACACACACACACACACACACACACACACACACACACACACACACACACACACACACACACACACACAAACACACACACACTCATACGCCTTTTCCCTCTCTTTCCCCTGTACAGTTATTAGCAGTAACAGCCAGTGAAATATCTCATCTGTTTGACCCCGAGGTCAAATAAGGACTGAGACAGAAAGTTTAGCAAACAACAGCGTTAGAACAAATGGTTACAAAAATAAGTAGCCACCTCCCCAAAAGACTTTGTCATATCGTTCTAAAACATCTACCTCTCGTACGTAGTCACATGCTGATGGATACCAAATGAATTCAGTCATAGATGGTTGAACAAGCAACAAATAACTCAAAGATTATTCCGACCTGCTTTTGGTTTCCTAATGTAGGACTTGCTTTGTTTGAAATGTGAAGCCATAAGTGTTGAAAAAAATCAATATTTTAAAATCTGCACATGTCTGACAAGATATCTGATAATATCTTGTCAGACACGTACTTGGTCAGGCACCCTAACATGTCCATAGCGTAAAGTCTGTTATCCATCTGAAGAAATAAAAATGTCATAAACTAACCGATACGTCAGTCCATTAGATCATTTTGTTAAGTGATCAAACACTCACCACTGCACGCTGGTACGGTTCTTTCCCCAGTTTGGAGGTTTTCTGCCGTCTCTTTCCACCCTTTGCGCTTTTCAAATGTTCAAGGATGATTTTTTCAGTCATTGCGGTTAGTGTGAGTGGTGGGGAGTGTTGCTGTGCTTGGCTTCCTGTATCTCTCTGATTGGCCGTGATGAGAATGCCCCAGGACTCATACAGCAAAGTCTGTGTGACTGTAAAGACATGATCAGAACACGAGCAACTGCACAGATGTTTATGTAATTCACGTTCATTCTGCCAGCTTCAAATAGAACACTGTAGATATGAGATGTTTTCACTTTCTATCATTTTTCTAATTGTGCAACTTGTTTTTTTATTAAACAGCTGTGGAATGTAACAGAACACTCACTGAAGCTGTTGGATGTTACTCGTATGTTGCTTGACTATTTTCAATTAATGCCACGCTATACCAGTTGAGCACTACAACTTGAATGTAAATATTGATGTACTGGATTAACTTATGCAAGTATAACTTTTTAATGTGTCAAATGAAGAAAAACGCCCTCGCAGGGAGCTGTTCATCGGCAAAGAACAAGACAACAAATGATCATACGGTTTAACGTCAGTGGGCTTTCGCTGCAGTTCCTCTTTGCTCTTCCTCTGGTGTCCGCTAGGGGGCGCGTGTCCACTAGGGGGCAGCTGTTGGCGTGCCGTTGGTTTTCCTCGCCGCAAAGATATTTGAATGTTCAAGTGATAGATGAACCCTCGCAAAATTGTGTTAAAAAAGGCACGCACACCACTGGTGTCTTTTCCCACACAGCAACTATCTCCAGTGTTGTTTTGACGGTGACGTTTATGCACAAACACCAGTTACGCCGATTCGGTGCCGTCTCTATCTGCCGAGGATAGACGGGGACCGACGGTGGGCGGGTTTTCTAGCTTACAGCCGGTCATCTTTGCAGCTCCGATAAACACGATAAACGCTGCTGTCGGTACTTTTGTATTTTCTCTCTCTCCCTTTTAGCCTGAAATCGAACTTGCGTGACTTGAATCGCCGTGTCGTGTCAGGCGCACGGACCGACTGTTTAGCGTTTTCTAAAGCTAGCTAACGCCAACTAGCGTTGGCTGACGTCGTTGTCGCTCGTAGGAATTCGATGTTGTCATTTTCGCGTCTCTGGTGTCGATGCTGTTACATAATGTGGCGGTAAGCTGTTAGCTTAATACACGTCTAATAGCCATCGTATAACGTTGCGTCTGTGACTCGCGGACCCGCTACAAACACTCCGGCGGCCCCGTGGTTGGATTGTTTGTTTACAATGGGAGTCAGCAGGATTTACATTAGCATCGGCTATGCTACCTTCGGAACTCTGGTTGGATTCTCGGCGTTCTTGGTCTGGAACGTAGCGTACAAACAGCCGTGGACGGCGGCCATGGGAGGCCTGTCGGGTATGTTTACACACACATAAAACCGGAGCATCTCACCCAGGTTGCTTATTTCATTTCTGTAAGGCCCTCGCAGTCAAACGTCACGCGGTGGTCACATTGGTTTGTATTTACTCTGGTCACTGACATGCTAACCGCTAACTGTTAGCATGTCAGTGACCAGAGTAAATACAGCAGCTAACACATGCTTTCCTGTCAGTGTGATGTATATGTGGGCTCCAGCTGATCCACATCCCCTGCAGGCTTCAGTCCGGCATAAACAATACCGGTTTTAGTGAATGGCGCTTTCAGTATATTAAAAATATATATAACATAGGCTTGTTTTTAGGATAGGCCCTAACGTTACACTCAATAAAGGTGTAAAACTTGTCTTTTAACAGGTGTTTTGGCCCTCTGGTCACTCGTCACACACATCATGTACCTGCAGGACTTCTGGCGTACTTGGCTCAAAGGCCTCAAGTTCTTCATCACTGTCGGCGTGCTCTTCTCCGTCGTGGCAGTGGCCGCCTTCATCACCTTCCTGACCCTCGCCATCAAACAGAAGCAATGTAATGAGCAATCTTCATTACAATACAGACTTAGTGGACAATATTTATTGTTAGGACTGCTTAATAATTCTAATATTGGTTTCCTAAGTATTCACCACATTGATCTTTCTGTCCCGCAGCTCCTACTGACCCGAACAGCCTTTATCTCTCCTGTGTGTGGAGCTTCATGACTCTCAAATGGTCCTTCCTCTTGGCCTTATATTCCTACAGATATCGCCAGGAGTTCGCAGACATCAGCATCCTCAGCGACTTTTAGTCTGTACTGATTTTTTACCCTGCGATGGACTTTGAGAGGTTTTAGGCAGCCAGAAGGAGCTGGCCAAAGAGCTTTTGTAACAACGAGGCGAAGGAGGAGGAGGAGGAAAAACAAGAAAAGCAGACCTTGCTAGCTTAAGAAGAACCTGACTTTTACCACTTGGATTTGTGTTGTCACTTGTTCACCTACTTTTACCGACCCAAATGTTCCTGTAAGTAGTCATAAGTCTGACCTCCTGACGACCAGCTGCTTTTAATACAAATGGCTTGAGGCGTTACACGTAAACACATGCTGGGTTTTTAAGAATTTATCTTGGCGATGTTTAATCTTAAAAACGCTAATACACATAATGGAATCCCCAATGTAACAGGCTTTTAATCTAATGATAAACTGTGAAAATGAAAGAGAAAATACCCCCAAAGCTTAAAATCCCCAAAACCGAAACTAAAACCTCCCACCTGAAGCCACTAATCGGGAGGTTGACGCTGTTTGTTGGAGGGCTTGAATGTTTGTACCCAAATGATCCTTTTCATAGTTTGCAGATTTGAACAACAGGATACTTTCATTACCACAGTCACTGTTTTAGTCAGTCCCTTGGCTCCCTTTGATAGTTACCCTTTTATTACTCTCATTTAATGTGTTTTGAAGAGAGTAGTTTGTAGTTTATTTCTTCCTTTTTATTCCATATTTACTTTTAGAAGAACTGAAGAAAATGCTTTCCTCTGGAATTTATCATTTGTTTCAAAATAGAGACTTTTTCTATCAAGAGCTCACTGTAAAATAATGACATTCCTCTTAAGAGAAAACCTAAATTAGTTGGACATATAATTGCACTTTAGTCTTTAATATTGATGCCATTGTTTTGCACACAGATCCTACTACAATGGAAATAATCAGGTTTTACAGTCATCTCTGTCTCACCATTTGAAATTTTTAATTACACTATATGTAATTATTTTACAGTTGGCAAGTTAAACTAGGCCTTGTAAGTGGTTTATATCCAGCTGTTGCTCATTTTACCTTCTACGATAAAAACATATTAAACATCTATGTTTTTAAAGAATGAATGTCAGGATGTTACATGTAAATACCCAATGAACCAATTAAAATTGCATTTATTGTTAATTAGTCTCTTTGCTCTGTAGCACACAAATACAGCAGCACCTAACGCGTCGACAATTCAAAGTTGTGCTGAAGCTTTTTCCTTCACTAAGCTCCACCCAGGAGGTGCACATGGTCTTAAGCGCAGCTTCATAAATGATCAAACAAGTGGGTAATACGCACATCCGAGGTTGTGCTTCAACAATAAGGTACAGTGCCGTCTCCTTTTTAGACCTATAACTTTGAAACAGAACGATTATCCCATCACTTGGTGATTGGTCATTTTGATTCTTTTATCTGCAATTATTATAAAAGGACGCACATCTTTAAGAAAGTATATCTCCGAGATAAAGCAGGATAAAACCTTTTGACGAACCAAAAGCGTGATTAATTTAAGGAAGTCAGTAGTTAGTGTTTGACCAAACCGGTAAAAGGCAGATGTCATTTTTTAATTGTTTTACTTCAAATAATGGAATGTGGTACAGTTATTGGATCTTTTCCACTGAGGTCAGACTGCGATGCAATGAGTGGTCTCCTGTGTGCTATTATTTACCCAGTGTTGAGCTAATATTTTAGCAGTCTACCTACCTGTGGGCTAATCCTTCAAGGTTAGATTAAGGCTTTGGATATGACATTAGCTCCCTAAATGTAAAACACTACAGCTGTATTTCATAAAGATTACCTTCACAACTTTATAAATATAAGCCTCATCAAGTGTATAAACTTGTTCCAACCATGTACTGTTGAAGTAAAATTATATTCATGATGATACTACTTTGACTTGATTTTGACTCATTTTAAGAAAATATAGTTCTTTAAATTGGTGTTAAGGACATAGTGTGAGAACATTTTCCATTTCGAAATGCTACAGCCATGCAGCGGGGCCGCCCTCGATATGTGATTGACAGGCCGGCATATAACCTCCCAGACTTTGACGGAGAGTTTGACAAGAAGAGCCGACAATTCTCCGCTGGAGAGAAAGTGAGGAAACTCTTCAGGTACAGAACTGCAATCTCTCCACACAGTCAACATGAACTACATGTCTTCCCATCACAAAAACGTTTTCCGCTGACAAGCGTCGTGTTTGTGATCAACCGGTGGAGAACCCTGTAGCTACTCCTCAATGTGACGTCATATATGAGTAACAACCAGCAAACCGGATCACTTCAAAGAGTTTCCCCTGTTTGTGTCTGTCAGATGCTCCGTGCTGAGACTGAAGGGCTTGTTGTTCAGACACCTGCCTATCCTGAGCTGGCTGCCAAAGTACAAAGCGAAAGAAAACCTGCTGTGTGATGTCATCAGCGGGGTCAGCGCTGGCACCATTCAGGTTCCCCAAGGTCAGTGGATACCCTCATCGCTCTGATGCCTCCGTACTCTACAAAACCCGAGCTGGCTGCAGCACCGTCGGCCTCGGTGTATTACACAGCGATTGTGTTTTATATATCGTCATGATTTATGTGACAGCTGCCAAACTGTCTCCGCTCTTTCCAGGCATGGCATTCGCCCTCTTGGCCAACCTCCCGCCCGTCAACGGTCTCTACTCCTCTTTCTTTCCCCTCATCCCGTATTTCTTCATGGGCACTGTTCACCAGATGGTCCCAGGTAAGCCGGAGTGATTTATCTGCGGGGATCACCCATAAAGACAGCGATAAGTTGCCTCAGCCAGAAGAAAATAACTGTGATGCACTACTTTCCATAGGTACGTTTGCTGTCCTCAGCATTATGGTGGGGATGGTGTGTCTAAGGCTGGCCCCAGAGTCTGACTTTAGTCACTTCAACGCCACTCTCAATGCCACAGTAGTGGACACAAACTTGATGAATGACGTTCGCCTGGGAATATCTGGAACCCTGGCCTGTCTCACCGCAGTCATTCAGGTACTCGGCACTAGAATCATTGTCTTTCGAAGTGTTAAGTGCTAAGTAGTTTATTATAAAGCTGACCCATTGAAAACCTACCTGTGTCCGTGCAGATTGGCCTCGGCTTCATGCAGTTTGGATTCGTAGCCATCTATCTGTCCGAATCCTTCGTCAGAGGCTTCATGACTGCTGCGGGGCTACAAATCCTCATCTCAGTGCTCAAGTACATTTTTGGCATCCGGGTGCCACCATATAGCGGTCCGCTGGCGGTCGTCTATGTAAGGGATCAGCCAGGTCTTCAGAAGACGAGAAATTTTGATTGTCATTAATTCGATCTATTTCTTATAGACGCTTGTAGATATTGTACGTGGGCTTCCGGATACCAACATCGCATCGCTAGTGTTTGCTCTGGTCAGCAGCATAGTTCTTATCGTGGGGAAGGAGCTGAGCGCGCGCTACCGCCACAAGCTGCCCTACCCCATTCCAATGGAAATCATAATTGTAAGCAGCTTTTAGTTCAGCATTCATCTAGGGACACAAAAGTGCACTTCTTTACGATTTGTTTAAATTCCTGAATTCTTGATCCGTATTCCCGGGTTCTACACAGGTCGTGGTGGCCACAGCCCTCTCAGGGCCGCTGCATCTTCCTGAGCTCTATCACATGGACATAGTGGGAGAAATTCCATTGGGGTAAAGTGAAACTGCACGTGTACTTAAAATCAGCCTGCAGGGGATGTGGATGTTTGCCTTTAAAATGACCATCTTATGACTGTTTAATTAAGATGTATATTCTGTCTCTATTTCTCAGTTTCCCAGCACCAATCCTGCCAACAGTGAGTCAGTGGGAAGACATGCTGAGCACAGCGTTCTCCCTGGCGATCGTGGGGTACGTGATCAACCTCGCTATGGGCAGGACGTTGGCAGCCAAGCATGGCTACGACGTGGATCCCAACCAGGTACAAATACCGCTCATTTAATAGATCAAGACGTGCATGTTGCATTAAACGTTGTTGACACAACATGCGTCTTCTCGTGCAGGAAATGTTGGCCCTGGGCTGCAGCAATTTCCTGGGGTCTTTCTTTAAGATCCATGTGATCTGCTGTGCCTTGTCTGTAACCCTGGCGGTGGACAGTGCTGGTGGAACATCACAGGTGAGTGTTGCGCTGCCGCGCAAAAAAAGCAGGTCTTATCTTTATCAAGCAAAGTATCTGTTAATCAAATTTTGTATTATTGGTCTTACGTGGCAAGTGGTGTTCAAAAATGTCAAAAAGCACTCAAAAAGCACAAAAATTTGACTTGATTACAGCTCTTGAGTTAATGTACTTAATTACCAAAACAGTATCTCCAACCTCTGAATCTCTGTTGCTGCCCTCATAGTTTGCCAGTCTATGTGTGATGCTGGTCGTAATGGTTACCATGCTTGCATTAGGAGCCTTCCTGAAACCTCTTCCAAAAGTAGGTGGTCATAGGTTTATGATTTTTGAAAAATTCAACAAAAAAATTGAACCAAAAGCAAAAGCAAATTCCCGGCATAAATTGGTGAACAATGCGTTTTGGTTTTGCCAGTCGGTGCTTGGAGCCTTGATTGCAGTGAACCTGAAGAACACGCTCCTACAGCTGTCTGACCCCTACTACTTATGGAAGAAAAGCAAACTGGACTGCGTAAGTCAAAGCATTGGGGGTAATATTGCATGGCAATGTGATGTATTTCTCTTTTTTTTAATCTTTCTTTCTCTTCCAGTGTGTGTGGGTTGTGTCATTCTTGGCCACATTCTTTCTCAGCTTGCCCTACGGAGTAGCTATCGGAGTGGGATTTTCCGTCCTGGTAGTTATATTCAAGACACAGTTGTGAGTAAATTCTAAATATTTTCTTATGCAAAGATTACAAAAAAGACAATGAAACTCTACATAAAGTGTTCATTATTGTGTTACTCATTTTAATGATGTGTTCCCTGAAGCCGTAATGGTTCGGCCATGGTCCAGATTATGGATACGGATATCTACAAAAACCCCAAAGTGTACAGTAAAGTATGGAAACTCCATATATCTGTGTTTGTTTATTGTCGTTAGACATATTGAATGATTCACTGCATCTCATTTTTTTTGTAATAACTCCACAGGTTGTTTCAATAACAGGCGTAAAAATAGTGAACTATTGCTCACCACTCTATTTTGCAAATGCGGAAATATTTCGCCAGAGGGTCATCAAAAAGGTACAGTGGAAAACAGGACCTCTTTTACTGTCACGCAAAGCTGGGTATTGTTTCTCCGTCAGTTGTTTACACAGCCGTGTTTGTGTCTAGACAGGGCTGGACCCCGGCAAACTTCTCCTGGCCCGGCAGAAGTTCTTAAAGAAAGAACAGAAGGAGAAAGCGAAAGAAGAGAAGAAGGACAAGGAGACCAGAGGGAGGGAACCCATCTCTCTGGTTAACATGAAGACTCAGGTGGGATCAAGTATAGGACAGACATGACACGCGCGTTGGATTAATCTCAGCCGGTGTTTTTATTTTCTTAAAAAGCGTCCTGTCTACCTTTCTCCTTTTGTGTTGCCTCTATATCTAGACCTTATCTCAGCTCGAACTACAAAGTGACTTTGACATGAGCAACGGCACCGCCAGCGGACCTGATCCTCCCACCAGCTACGTCAACTTCGGCTTAGGGGACAATGAGCTGGACGGGAAGGCGCCTGACCAAGAGCCACCCAGTCCCACGCTGGAGTCCCAGCCCATGCCCTTCCACACCCTCATCCTCGACCTGGCAGCGGTCTGCTTCGTAGACCTAATGGGCATCAAAGTATTGATAAAGGTGTAGCATATTTGTACATTTGGTGTGAAATACTTTAATAAAGCAACCCAGGATGTAGGGAAAACAAAATAGAAAAATAAATCTCAGACACTGGGACAGTTAACTGCCACAATCATTATCAGCATGATTCGGCATTCGCTTTTCTGACGTGGAAATGTTCATGATGAGGATGAATGTCAAATGATTACAACTAACCTGATTTGGACGACGTTGGGTTGCAGACAGCCTCGGCACAGTGCTTCTTTCTGCCAGTCAGAGAACCCCATAAATATATATATATATACTATAGTATGTGAGGTCGGACGCTGAAGTACCCTACCGAACCTTTTTATGAGAAAGAAGAAATCTAAAGTAAGGGTATATATAACAGTACTTTCCGTCATGCCCATTGACTCTCCTTCTCTCATTCCCCACGCAGATGAACTCAAGCTACGCAGCGCTCGGCATTAAACTCTACCTGGCTAATGTTCAAGGTGAAATCATTAATGACTTCAGTGCATTTCCCACCTGCATGGTTAAATAGACCTAATCATTGAGCACAAGGTCTGTGAAGGACACTGGTAGAAATGAGTGTACAATTGTAAATGACAGATTTAATTAGTAAACACTTTTTATAGGACTAGTGAGATAAAGATCGAGCAGTCATTTGTTGTGATTTATTGCATTTAAGCATCAATCAGAGTTCTTCTCCTGGCAAAACCCCCCCAGATATTCAAAATCAGTTGTTGTGCTTTACTTCCTTGTGTGATGTTGGTTGTCCTTCTGCCTGCAGCCCAGGTGTTTAAAGATCTGGAGGTCGGAGGAGCTTTTGATGACGGCAATATTGGCCGCAGTAATCTTTTCCTTTCCGTCCACGATGCTGTTGTGTTTGCTCAGCAGACCTCAGAAGAGAGGCAAGTCTCCCCAAAGGTAGGCCCCCACTGTATAAAATAACCGTATAACCTTACCAATCCTTTTTATAACTTCACATACAAACAACTGCTGGTCAAAGGTTCTAAGATTTAAATAAAAGTAAGATGAGTAGAAAAACAAAGTTTATTTTCTAAGGACCTAATTTCTCTTTCTTGCACAGCCTTTGTAACCTTATCTAGAGTAAACACAAATATCACCTAGCTTTTTTGTGACACATTAAGTGCCTCAGCAAACAAAGTTGCAATTTACACTAAGGTCATGCTGCGCATTGTTTGCTACACGCCTGATTCTGTCTGCTCCTACTGCCTGATGTGCATAGGCAACGATTTTAGTATCCGACTAGATAATCATTGTTCTCAGCAGGATTTTGTGTGTAAAAAAACAACCTGAAATGAAGTTTCTCTTTAAAATAATATAGTTAAATAAATGAGTATGAACTAGGGGGACTGGAGGGTGCGCTCCATTTAAGCGACAGCACTTTGGGCCGGGGCGGCGTTATCAGCAGTTTCAATGTATTAGCAGAGTGCAGGGTGGTAGCGATTAGCAGGCCAGTTAGAGACACACACACACACACACACACACACACACACACACACACACACACACACACATAGATGCACACATACACTAATATTAATTAACATGAACTCGTGCCAGAGAGCTGATTAAACAAAGCACATAGAATCTCAGATTACCCTAAGCGGGAGCATGACTTCATTTTCTGCTCAGGTGGACATTAATTCAATAAGTTTACACAGCAAATAGTTGTTTGCGGTTTCATAAATACCTGGAATTTGTAACCTACTCCATTCGTCAAGGCCAAAGCTTGCCTTTAACACCCGTATTTACTCTATTTCCAGTGGAATCATAGAACCGGGAGTAACACAATTTAAGTGTTTGCATTCATGCCTGTTTGACTTTCAATTTGTACATTTACTCTGTTTGCTGCAGGCAGAGAGAGCGAAACAGAAACTTGTCTTTAACATTAACGAGGAGAAGGATCTGGAGCAGGTAGGTACTAGTTTACCCCAAAAGGATAAATCACAGTTCTGCTATTCTACCTTTATTTTTCCACCAAGCCGTTACAGTAGATCTAAGTGTCGTTTTACTCTACAGGAACTGTTTTGAGCACTGGTTGCTGCAGTGAAGACGAGGATGAGAAACCTAAAGAAGATACAATCAGTTCATTTTGTTGTTGCCAAAAATACTTTCTGTGCTTTTATCTCAATGCAGATCAGTTACGTAAGGAAATCGTTTTACTCTGTGGTCGGGCACAGCCAGTACTTGACTCCACTGACAGGGGGTGGTACATACCAGCACAAGAGACACCAATAACAAATTAGGCCTTGAGCAAGATAATGAAGCACAGACCCCCGCCCTCACAATAACTGTGGCGTGAACCTGCTGACTGAGCAGTCTTACAGGAGTGGTCTTGTAATTAACTGAAAGTGTGCATGGCCACAGCTGAGTGCTGCAACCAGCTGAGCAGTCTTCCCAAGTCCCCGTGGAGGCAAGGCACTAACAAAGGATAAACAAAAGTGAAAGGAGAAATGCATCAGCAGTTTTCCAGACTTAGTTGTCTTGCAAACCCTATCAAGGACCGCAGTGTCCCATCATTTACCATACGGCAAAAAATAAAGCCCCCAACGAAACAAAAACCCTTCCAATTGTCACCGGTTGCATTGGACTGTTATAAAGAGAAATATTTGTGCCAACTACCTTGTGTGTTTGTGTAGCAGGGGCTAAAAGGCATGTGGTGCCTCGCAGCGGGCTGACAGCAGTGTTGCTATGCTTGTGACGCATGAATGGATTTATGAAGCTATTAAGAAATCATCCTAAGGTATTCTGGCACACATCTGCTCCTCTGCTCTCCTTCTTCTCTGCAGCAAATTGGCACCACAAGTGATTACAAGGTTTCAATGGCCATCAGCTTTAATTTGGAGCTCTGGGGAAGTCGCTCATCACCTAAAGTGTGTGTGTGTGTGTGTGTGTGTGTGTGTGTGTGCATGAGTCTAATTTCATCAACTGCAGCTCGTCCTTTTCCTTCTTTTCGCCCTTATTGTTTTGAGACCGACTGTCAAAGCTCTTTGCTGTTTGGGCCTGATTTAATTAATTAGAATTAGGGAAATATTCAGATTGAAACAGTTAGTTCAACTCTGGTTTGTCACTTAGTAATGAGCCATATGCTTTTCTTTTCTTTGAATGTTTGACTTTATAAAAAAAAACAGAACTTGACTTTCACATATGTCCCAGTTATACATAAACATAAGCTGCATACAGTGTGTGAAATCCAGACGCCTCAGTAAATCTAATCAGGTGTGTTCAAACTGGAATGAATTATTCCAAACTGTCAGACAGATTGAGAGATTGATAGGAGAACGATTTTTGAATGTATTGTTGATGCAATGCACAAAAGAAACAGACGAGTTTCCAATCTCAGTATTAAGTATTAAATGTTTGAAATATTTAATCCATGTCATCCCAAAGTTGCAGTATTGCACATGTATCCACGGACGCGTATTAATGCCATTATGCACTTCCCTGTAAAGTCAAAAATGTATACCAACATGCAGTATATATATATTGTGTACGTAATGACGAGGTCTATGTGGTCTTAGTGGCACGCAGGCTGGTTCAGAGCAGGATCAGTCAGGCTAAAGACCTTTGCCCTTCTATTTGTCGAGGCCAACCCAGAAGTTAAAATCACCATGGTTCCTTCAACAAAAAGCCAATGAGATTTATTCTTTGGATTTGACTGAGTCAAACCCTTACATATATCTATAATAGTTACACGTTTTTAAAGTCATCACCACTGACCTAAAGGCGAAGTAGTGATAGCTGTGAGTCTCATTTAGACCCTTTTACGCAATCAGCTTTTTTAAAGACACATTAACGCTTTAAAAGACTCATAAGGGAATTCACTGGTAAATATTCCATAGGACGATAAAGTCTTTGGTTAATCGCAGACCTTATTTTAGTCATCTAACCAAGCACCCATTCCAAATAACCATTGAGTTCCAGACCAGGGAACCAAAATGCTCAAACTCTGTATTTCTTTTCTCATCTGCTTTTCTTATCAAAACGCATGTAACGGAGCTTTTTTAAATTTGACTCTCCTGATAATACGCCATATAATTACTCCATAACAGTAAAGCTACGGGCAAAATAGGCTTCTTTCTGCAGGTCAAATGTTGATTACACTGAATTATGAAATGCTTCTTGCCAAAACCTTTTTCAAATGAGATTTTAAGGGACTAGCTTCCCAATACCTGTAAGTTCACACAAAAAGTAATTTTACATCTCTTGCACATTCATTAAGAAAGGTGGTTTAATTAACACGGCTCCTTTTCGTGTCATAGAGATTTATGTGTTAGATTTGTTTACACGCGCAGTGGTTTCATCCTGTTGAGACTAATTGATTGGTGCCGGAGTGAATCTCCTTGTTGAGTCATGGGACCTTGTCATTTACAGCTCGCCTGCTGTTATGAAGAGCTGTCAATGAGAAGAATATTTTGGTCTGACCTTTCACAATCAAGATTTAATTTTAAAAAAAGCGCAAGGAATCCGTTCTGTTTGCTTGCATGGGACAGAAAATGGAAGATGACGGAGCAACCGAAACCATTTCTGGTGATTAAAATAATATCCGTTTGACACTGATCAAGCGATAGCAGTTGATGCTTTTCATGCATTCTCTGGACTTATGTGCGGCGATCTATTTCGCTTAATTAGCAAGCCAGTTTGTAGCCGGGCAATCATAAATCTTGATTGTGCAATGTCAGCACATTGTCTTTGGGCCAAGTTGCTCAGGGGCGAATCTGACCACTGATGGCTGATATTAATTAATGTGCACATTGTCTCATTCCAGTTGTTCAACAGCAATTAAATGCACCAACATCCTCTAGTGATTAATTAAAGCATAAAATGATTGAGTATAGTTTAATTAAACCACAACCCCATGTCTGATTGAAAATACCGCTCAACCTGCTTCGCCAGTTTTACTTTTTCTCATTTGCAGAGTTCCTTAATTTAACGGTAATATTGAAATGAAGTCACTGTCCTGATCATTTCTAAAGACAGTGACCTTTATGAAATGATAGATACTGCACTCGAAAATTGCTGCTGCAGCAAAACGCCAAGATGTACGTTTATATTTTTTGTATGTTTGTTATGTGAGAAAGGAAGAAAGGAATTGATTTGAATTTCATTAACAGTATCATAGAAACCACAGCTGGCAGGAGAAGATAACGCTTTAGAAAGATAAATAAACATTTGACCTTGATTCTGAACACGCCATCGAGACAAAGAGAGACTTGCAGCTATCGTGTTGGGCAGACCGGTGAGTTGTTTTGTCATCAACTCATTAAACCAAGCATCAGGAACTGTCTTCTTATTGGGTGTGATGACTTCCAGATACTAACTCCTTACTGAGGCGTTCGGTATCAGCGGGGAAATTAGACAACACAATGCAAAAACAACGCAGTGTGGTGCACCGCTAAGGGAACTCATTAGAGCACTGCAGCATAGGAGGAAGCCGCGTGATGCTTTGCAGCATGTCATCAGGGGTGTTGTAAGTGTTATTACACAATCATGATTTGATAGCTCGTGCACAATTACTTCATTAATTTTATGAATCTTCGCCTGACTCGGGAGCCAAGAAGAGCCATAAAAGAGGGGAAGCTTTTAATGCAATACGTTGGACCAGAGCTCATTATCTGTCGTGCCGTATTTGTGTATAACGATCTGTCTTAAAGTTTTTTAACAAGATCTTCATCGACATTGACAGGATGCCAATACAGCTGTGAATACATGGTTTTAACTACAGCAACCCTTTATGTTAACATGCTCTTTGCAGGAGGCAGAGTTGGCAGATATTGAAATATACTATAAACGTCAGGTTTAAAAGAATTGAACCATCAGCAGTCTGGCTCAGCTCGTACTCGAAGTGGATTTCACAGACAAAGATCGGCCGTGTCCGAGTGTCCACAAACGTCTTTTAGGCAGAGATGGCTGAGATCACGAACCACGCAAGCATTAGTGTAATTGCCCCCTACTTCGACTGTTTAAATATATCTGATTACTAAACACAAGCAATTGCAAATTAGCTTTCTAGCTAATAGTTCCACATGTAAACCTTCCTTATAGCTCATCAAATTATATTCACTTGAAAAAACAAGGCTTACAAAGGAAATATACAGTGGGCATCTCTTTCAGGTCAAAAATGATCATGAAGGCGATGATCATTGTATATTTATTTCTAATGTATCTAACATATACTGTATCTATTGGAATACGTGAATACAAAATACATACATGTAGTTCACCAAAGCTATTTCCGCTGTAAGCGAAAAGGAGTAAAACAAAAATGTTTCTCACAAAAATTGTGGTTCAGACCGGTTTGATCTGCTCTCCCGTTGTTTAGTGTCCTCTGGGTTCGTCTGCAGACGGTAACCTCTTCTTTTCTCTCAATAAAAAGGCAACTCAGACAGCCGTTATCCAACGCACTTTACTGCTTTAGTTTATATCTCTATCGTGACTCAACTTTCAGCAGACAAATTCAGCCTTGACGGTGATTCATTAACTATTAAATCGGAAGTCAATCAAACTCATCCATTATATTCAAGCATGACACAAAGCATATTGCCTGGATTTTAAACAGTGTGTGATGATATGATAAAACCCAAGTATATTTTGGGCTTTAGATGCTTAAACACAATATGCTTTACGCCACGCCGCAGAAACCGGCAACTTTTATTTGCGCAGGAAGAGTGAAATTTGCAATTCAAATGTTGTTTTGTTGCACATCTACATGCACACAAGTGCCCGAGACATTCCACTCAAAGCTTTGGCCTTTAACCATGTTTAGGCTGATGAAGCATTTTGCCGTTATTGTGACAGCCGCACTGCTTAGTTATTCATCGTGCCGTGCTCTTTTTAAGCAGCTGTCTAACCGCACCACGTTATGACCATCCACTCACCCCTCTTTTGCATTTAACAGCTACAAATCTTCATGCAGTAACCGTCCAGAGCTGCTCCTATAGGGAAAGCAATACAAAAACAACATCTAGAATATGTCATTTTGGAAAATATGTTTGTGATTGACACTGAACCTATTCCATTAGTTGGGTTTATACAGCATACATTAACACTGTGGGGCAAACTTTTGTGTAGGGAATAATCCACATGGTCATATTCACAAGAGGCCCTTCACCTCTAACCCACAAGATGCCCAAAGTCCCTCTTTATTTGTCCGCTTTATGCTAATCCCATGACATTTGGGGAAAACACACTGCAGAATAAATATATGATTTGTGCATGGATCCAACCAGCCCAATTGTATTCATGAGTTATGATAATAGATAGATGGTTACTTATCAATTGCGCAAGGAGAATTTATTTTTCTAAATGGGATATTTTAGAGGGATCTCTGACAATAACAATCTTTTCTTTTCGGCAACTTACTAAGTCTGTGATAAAGAGGAGTGAAGTAGAAGATGTTAAAACTGACCATAAGTATAATTGACAATTTATGACAATGCAATTCATGCAATTTTTCACAAATTCTGTACACCGCCTTCTGTAATGACCCATTGTGACCACAGGATGGCACTGTGGCTTCTCAAGTAAACCCCAAAAGCCGCTCTCCTCTCATCGGCAGTGAAAACTTTGAAGAAGAAGAGTCACCCAAAGGAAACCATAAGAGACAAAGTTGTGAGCTTCTGCGGCCGAGGCGATTAAAAGAAGTATGACGGTGAAAGAGCTGCTGCTGTGATCTTGTTTCCTGTGATCCATATATATTGAGCAAAAGGGAGAGTGATGGCTGAGCGGGGACCGCGGCACCCCAGCGGCCTTGCAGATGAATGAAGATGCAAATGGCAGTGGTACTTAAAGCCACTAAGCACACCCCAGAGGCTCTGGTGTAGAATGCGCAGCCTCAGCACATCAAGGACACGGCCTCTCCGTGCGAGCGTCCCCTTGGACCGCATCGCTTCCGTCCATCTACGTTTTCATCCAGACAAACACTTGACTCCTCACGCTGAGCCGAGGCAACGGCAACAGACAGATGTGCCCTCCTCAGACAATCCAGTGTGATAAGCTGCTGTGCTGCTCCACAAAATCCCCAAAGAAACCATCTCAATAAAAAAAGAAAAATATATATTTTACATGAGAATAGATATGCCTGGAAACCGTAGCCTCACACTTTGGCTTTGCCTCGGCTGTAAATGTCAATTTCATGTTAGATTCTTTCTCTATTCATCCATGACGCCTGTGATTGCTTCATCCTTTTGCATGAGAATGGCTTGAAATGAACATTGGCCTATTCTGGCATTCATTTTCAGCGCCCTGTGAATGAAATCCATCGAAAAGTGCCGGGGAGCAGACAACCACTCTATAAAAAATGGAACCGTGCACTGTACGGAATGTTCCTAAAGTTATTCAGTGTTTCCTTAACATCCTTGAGGTGTTTTATAGTTTCCTTTACCCACTAAGAGCAGCTCCCGGATGGGACCTTTGCTGTGCTAAGGAGTGCCACAACCATGATGTAGGCCCCAAGTGGCATGTTGTTTCTGTGAGTCACTCGAGCATACGGCACTCCGCCTCTCCTCTCCACTGGTTACAGAAATACAGGTGAGCCCACAGCAGGCGAACCTGTCACAGTCAGCACCTGCAGGATCCTAACAGCCAGCAGGGGAAAAACTGGAGGACGGAGGGAGTTTTGTTGTGAAGCCACCTGGAAAGGTTAGCAGTGAAAGGTGAAACACAACGCTGTCCTAAACCATCTGTTTGCCAAACATCCTTGATTGGTGATCATGAACAAAAAAACCCACGTGTCATTGCAACTACCCAACATGACTCAACAGTTTACCAGCATCCATCACAGTCCATTCAATGCTGTTAAGCTGCCATTCAGTGCAAGGCCAAAGCGTAAATAAAATAAAATCTAATCCATTGATTTATACGCTGCATTGTTAACTAAAAAGATCAATCTGTATATTGAAGAAGTAGCATTGTTGTATAGATCATTAATTAGGTAATGAGTCATAACTCCGATCCATGATGCCCTTTTGGCCTTTCAGAACATTGCTCATACAGTTCTGCTTAGTACAATAATTTGTTAAAATGTTGATTTATGAACTAATTGTCTGTAATTGCTGCTTAGTGCCACTGGTAATCCAAGCTGTCTGCCTCCTGAAGCACATTAGGGCAGATTTGTATAATGAAGTAATTAGTTTAATTACAATGAAGAAAGTAGGGATAGCGTAAGAAACAGGGAACAACAGAAAGTGTCCCAGTGCCACGAGTGTGTTTTCCGTCGAGCTATTAAGAAACATCCTCAGCAGAGCGTACGAAAATAAGAGCGGCTCATTTTCTCAATTCAAGCCCACACATATTGACAGAGTTCATTTTAATCTCTTTAACTTTTATTGAGTTTTTCGTCCCAGGTCACCTACCTCGCATTCGGCATTTCACACATCAACTTATTTCATCTCCCTTCTTCGCATGTTGAACAACAAAGCATCGCCCTGTGTTTTTTTATTTTTATACTTGGCTTCTGTCACCTGCCAGCAGCTGCCATCACATCGCCAAGACTGCTCTGTTGTCTGCGAGCATTGTCATTGTTATTAGTCTTTTGGATTGCCTGCGGAGGTATCGGCAGGCTCCGGGGGAAGCAGAAGCCAGGCTGGATAATTAGTTGTTCTTCGATGCCAGACGGGCACGTTGCCGTCACTTGCAGGGGAAATGGAAAGTGGCATCACTATCACAGTAACACCGGAACAACCTTTGGTGTGAGGGCCGGGTTCCAGCGCATCTGTCACACTAGTCATCTACCCACTGGCAAGGCAATAATGCTTAGCAGTGTAGGAATACACAGCAGGGATAATTACTTCATATGAAATGGAATTATTTGTCTTGTTTGTCGTAATTAGTAGTTGTGCGGTGGAATCGATATTAGGTTTTTTGCTCCATTGTCGGAAAACAAGAGCCATGAAAGCATGAAAGAGACGCCTCACAAAGAAATATAAGTATTTTTTTCCTTTACTTAACAGTTCATCAAGTATTCCTCATTCCATTAAACCCTCTAAGCTGCTTACATCGCAGCCTACCACCTGCAAGGACCTGCATGTTCTGCAAGTCCTGCAGAAAACGTCCTGCAGGTCCCTGGGTTGACGGATCTGCTGGTTTCCATGCCAGATGTGCACGACGGCGAGAACTATAGAGGTTCCAAAAATCAAGGTCCCTCCGAAGCCCAGCAGGATGCCCCACAAAAGGGGCAGAGCTACAACCGAAATTCCCTTCTGGTACACGGGTACAGGAGACCGCTCCACAACCAGATCCAGGTCACGGGATGTCAGGTGCCTTACTAACACACACATACACACACACACACAGCACAAACAGGAAAGATACACAAACAGGGTTCACATGTGTCCTGAAAAAACCCTTATACCAGTATTACAATCATTTTAAAAACACAATAAATAAGAACAATTAAAAATATTCTGGAGATCTTCTAGTGGAGGATTATTTGGATAATCTTCGGTTTGTCTTTAGCTGAGATAACTATCTGACCAGAGTAACATTCAAGATTGTATTTACATTTAAATGGTAGTTTATGGACAGGAGTATTTAGTTGTGGAAACACTTGATTTACACCTACGATGACATTAGATATGTTACTTTCTCAGGAAAAAAGTTGAGGTTGTAAAAGTTGAGGCCATGGCTTGTTTGGCCTGTAATGGTGCAATGTTTGTGATTCAACGCTAGGAGCCTCTTTCTAAAATGTGTGTTGGTCGTTGTTGAGAGAGTTAGATAACAACGATTAGGAAGACAAAACAGTTAATGGGATCACAAAATACTGACTGAGTAATAGCAAATTGTGCTGTAGTTGAGCTACAACTGCAACTTTTTCAAAAATGTATTGTCATAATTTTTAAGCATGTGAGGATTCTTTTGATGGGTTACAGCCATAGACCACAGGCCTTATAAAAGGACTTCCACAGGGAGGAACATATGACTAGCAAGATCATAACATCATAACAAACAGCTGAAAGGCGTGTGGCTGCTTCAACTTTCAAGTTTCAACTTTGATGAAGAACCTGCGAGAATTCAAAAAAACTGAGCAGGTGACGGGTGATAATTACATCTTTGCATCCTGGGAAATACTCGTCATATAGTGAGAGTGTTGATGTTGAGAAGTAATGAGTTGGAATCATGCCTACGGCCACCGGATCTAATCTGGCATCTCATCTAAACACTTAATAGAATCACGGTTCATTGGAACATTATACAATTTGTTATTCAGTCTCTAGGGGGATAACCTAAAAATCTCTTCATGACATCACTAGCCAAAGATATTTACACTTACACAGACTTCGCCATCACTAATGCCAAACTAATATGACCATTTAAGCTATTGAGCTGAAGGGATAAATTACCTCTTCTTTTTCTGACCGTGTGGGCGTCATGCTGTCGGTCATCTGAGGCTGGTTGTTCCAGCGGGATGTTTAAAGACTTCACATATTCGTGGTAATCTTCAACGTAGCGTTTAATCTTCAGGACTTTGTCCTGGTTGATGTTCTTCCCCACTTCTGTAAAAACACGAGCACATTGCCGATCTTAAAGATGGTCTTTGTCACTTGCATGTATTTCATCAACAAGAAACAGAATATTTGATTCTAATTTTGAACTAATCCGTTCTGGCAAGAGAGCGACTGCCGTCCTTCGCTTTCAAAGTAAAACCAAATGAGCCCCTCAATTTTCCACGTATGAGTACATGTCTTCAGAACTGCAATCAAGTGTACAATAATTGCAGAATTCTGCATGTGTAAAGTCGCTTTTATCAAAGCCACCGATGCCCCCCCCTCCCTCTCCCTTGTGTCTTATAACTCATCTCCTCTACTTGTATTTGTTATTTTGTTTTACTCCAAAGTTGCCTCTGATGAAAGGAGCAGATGGTTTGTTCCGTGGCTGGTGTCAGCTCCACCGAGTCCTCTGTCAGATCATTTGCACCTCCTTCTATCAAACGCCACTCGGCTGTGGCGTTGTGTGCACACTGGACTGTGGCGCTTGCCAGAAACTGGCAGCGTGCAAAATATGCCACTTTTGAAATTCCAATTAAAACAAATCTCAAAGTAACGAAGCAATTATGCACTTTTGTCAGAGTCTCGGGGAGGAAATAAACCAATTTTAAAAATACACCGACGTCCACCCAAATATTTCTTCCAATTTAGTTTCACCGAGGGACGGGCCGAGGCCACACCGTGCTGTAAATAAAAAGTGAACCATTTAATGTGAAACTCATTATCTTTGGCGGCGGCACACAGTTATTGTCTTTATCAAGAAGGCACACGCGTTCTTCCCCTCTCCGTTTGCTGCTCACCAACGGCCACATCAGTTCTGCCGATGTGCTGCAAGGCGCGAGCGAGCCTGTCATAGTAGGTCTGCTCGCCGTGCCTGAGCATCCAGTCCGTCAGGCCCGCGCGGCACCGAGCCTCATCGCCTAGCAAACACAAAAAACGTGTGGCAACTCAGACACGAAAGGGCTCTGACAGTCCGCCTGCTGTCAGGAACTCAACAAAAGTTGACCTGGACGTGTGAGAAACAGACTGGAGGTGGACTCCCTTTCTACCTTATTACATACAAGTTGTATATGAGTCTCAAAGGATTCACCTGAAACCTAAACGGGCCCCATACTGACTAAAATTGTTGACGAAGCTATTCAATTTAGTTACGTTTATACATTATATGGTACATATGAAGTTTGGACGTATCAAATGCTATATATGAAAAATGCACTCTGTTTCTGATGTGCTATTTCATTATTCAACAGTGAAGGAACTTTAATTGTACATTTTTGTTAGAATAAGTTAAGAAAGCAAAGCAAAGTCAAGCCTTGTAAAAATGATCTATGACAGTACTTGTTAGAGATCATTTCCATGACATAAAGTGCCTGAGGTGTGTTTCAGAAGATGCTGGGGAGTAACCTGCAGCGGTTGAGGCTTCTCTCTTGGCTCGCGGTTTCGAGGCTCGAGGTTCTAGCTGATTCGTTTCCGGGGAGAGACGCTCAACGCGCTGAAAGATGTTTTCCTCGGGGCGGGAGAGGACGGACAGAAGGTCCTCGCACTCCTTGGACGTCAGCAACTCCACCAAGCGCTTCAGCTGATGGGCACCAATGTCATCTGCAACTGAAGAGCCATGAAAGACGCCGATTATTAAAAATAAGTGCTGGGAAAAACTGTAGGGAGAACACCGGTTTTGGAAATAGGACCGAGGCTTGTGCTCCACCTTTCGCTTGACATGCATGCGGATTCCAGTTAATGAAGCGTAACGCTGAGACACCCAACAACATTTCTGCTGCATGCTCGTGCTTTCAATTAGCAAGTGTGGCTTGTTTGCCATGAAACTGTCATATTTGCCACCTCCCCTGCTTTGAATAGAAACTGAATAATCAACATTTTACAAAACGGGAACCGAGTTATCAGCAGCTTCGGTCTCGCTGTCAGTTTCTTCAGCTGATATTTTCGGTGGGAACGTTCGCTCACCTGTGTCCTCTCCGAGGGTTGGACTCAGAAGCAGAAAGACGAGGAAAAATAAACTCCAAACTTTCATGTCCGCTGAAGAAGTGTAGACTCAATACGTGCTGCCCAAAGTATATGAGGTTTATTTTTAAAACTTTGAAATACAAGTTCTAGAATGTTTTGAATAGTACAAAGTATTATTCTTTGATTCGCTGAATCAGCCAATCACCATGCGGGATAGATACATGTCGTTGTGTTTTGAATTAAGGAACACAATTTGTAAATGATAGCATCAGAAAATCTTTGATTAGTCAAATATTGCATGTCAATTATAACAAAAACCCGTAAATGAGTTTCAAACCACTTTTTTAGTATAGATATTCAATCTACAATTATAGGAAAAAGCAGCATTTTTAATCACATTAACGGTTTTAGTAGTGTGATATTGCAATGAATATATATGTAGACAAATATAGATATAAGATGACATGTATTGCAAATCATTATTATACATATTTTGAGAATTGTTTGTGATAATACAGCTATTCACGTTGTAACGTTCATTCCTGTTACCTATGCGCCACAATATATAATGGAAAACCTCTTTTGCTATCACACTATCACATCTCACATCTTCTAACATTTAACTAAGAAGGTTATATGTTATATATGAGGTGAATATGTTTTTCTCTCTCACATTTTGATGTGTGCTGCTGCAGTTCTCTCTCTAGCTGGGAGAAACACGTTAAATAGCATTATTGTGTTGGCTACACTGTGGGCGTGTTTTACATTTTTAATAAGCTTAATTTGCCAAACAGTAAAGGTTGTTTGTGTGGGCTGAGTCTGAAAATCTACATCTTTGCTAATGTCAGCCACGGCGTGTGGGTGGTATAATGGCTCCGTAATTATTTGAGATGTTGAAATAAAGAACTGGACAAAAGGTCAAGATATTTATTCATATTAGTGAGTTGCGCAGTACAATGTCTTATTAATGGAAATACATGCAAAATATATCTTGTACAAAATAGCAGGGAAAATCCATTAGAATATATAGTACCATACATCACAACAGTATCATTTGTCAAAAAGATGAATAATTGAATCAAGGGGAACAAGCTTGAGAAGCAGTATCCCCATGTCTCTTACACTTCACACCACTGAAATCTGGTGTGAAACAGACAGACTCCGGTGGAATGAAGGACAGAACACATGGGATTTTCCTTGCAGAAAGGCTCTGAAATATAGAACACAAATACACACAACACAGCCTTTGTTCACATTCGATTGGGATTCTTACTTGTTACAGTTTCTATCTAGTAAAGCTTTAGGTTTAGTCTATTTAGTTTTAAAGATTTTAAATCTGAAACTGGATGCTGGGTGGAACCCCCGAGCAGGCGAGTGGGGCGTCTCGATGCCTCCGGGGGGGGGAGGGTTTGTGAGTGCAGCAGGGATTCAGTGTTGAGTGTTGGCCTCTCCCCCTTTTCTAGAGTTTAAGTCTGAGCCTGGGCGAGACCGGGCCTGCCCCGCTTCGAGGATCCAGCGTTTCAGGCGGCTGTTGAAATCCTGAGCACGTCACCGCGCGTCTGAGCCGAATGGGCTGTTTAGTCGTCAGCGGCGCGACGCCAAGTCCTCCGCGGGCCCGCCCCGCCATCTGTATGCCTCAGAGGGGAAAGGCGACCCCTCGCTCGCTCCCCACACCCGGAGCTCTACGGTAGTCTTACTTCTCCCTCACCTCCTACGCCCAAACGTCTTTGTGTTGAGATCAACTGAAATCCCATCACAAAGTTTGCTTCTCGGGCAATTTGATTCCTCCAGTTGATCCTTTGCTTTTTAAATAATTCAACACAGTAACAAAAGTTATAGTTTAGCGATACACAAATCCACCGTCTGAAGTATTGGCAAGATTAGATTTTTCCTGTGCAGAGACAAATGCCTCACCTGGCTTAAAACCCATCACTCACCTTTGTTGCCTCTTTAGTTCCCCAGTGATTCTGTGAATGCAATGAAACTGAAACAAGGAGATAGCTTGGAGCTGTCCTCACCAGGGACTGCAGCCACAGCGGACACCATGGCTATCTGTCTTCTCTCTGTCTTATCTTGCTGCCTGATTCAGGTATTGTTGCTTTTAGAGGCCTACGCCGACCAATAAGACACAAGCACCTGAGCAGCAGGGCCACCCATTTGTTGGGTGAAAAGCTGCCACACCCTCCCAGGTGGAGTGGTTGTATTGCCCAGCATTAACAAAAAAAAGAGCCGATAATCACAAAAACAAGTAATAACGGTAGTGTTCCCCCCCAAAAAAGGCTGTGGCCATGCAGCAGTTTTAGTAAAATAATTATGCCCCAAAATAGATTTTGTCAAAACAACAAACAAATCGTATCCACTTCAAAGGCTTTGAAAGAAGACTCTAAAGAAGATGTGAACTTACAAATGTAATTAAGGAATTTCGTGTAATATTCATCTAATAACAGCAGAGTGTTTATTGTTTGATGCTGCTGTAATTTGCCTATTTTTTAGTCTCTCTATGAAGTAAATCCTCAGACCAGAGCTTTTCTGAAGCGTTTCAGAAAAGCTCCTCCAACCCATTTTCACTGGAACATATTTATACAAGAAAAAAACATTGCTTCTACAGTCAGCTAAACAGCCCCCATTTCAAGCTGCTGAACATTATTCAGCCCCAAAATGACTGTAATTCATTTTTACCGAAATTCTAAATAAGCAAATAACGGTGCAATTAACTTCCTGTGATAGAAAAAGCACTTTGTTTTCAGGGAAACACATATATACATTTAAACAAGACACTTTGAAGCTCTGTTCTCCTCCTTTCAGCCTTTAATGAAAAATGGGTCGACACCCGACATCCCTTAATGTGAAAGGACGGACTTCTTGAAAAGCATTCTTTCCCCTCACAATGGCAGGGTTGGTGTGGGTTCAGGTGGGGTTTTGGGTTTTGGGGAGGGGGGGGGGGCATCGCCCACACATTCCTGAGGTGCAAAGCTTCATCAAGCCTCAAATGACAAGATATTTCTTTGGTGAGCACATTAATTTGAGCGCAATCGCTTTTATGTGTGATTTTACCGACAAGAACGCCATTATCTTTGAGTTATGGGAGACAGACAGAGACAGACAGAGACAGACAGAGACAGCGCTCTACCTCTGTGTTCCGCGTGGGCCAGATAGCTCCTTCGGACCTCTGGGAAGTTACGGCTAAAAAACGAGCCTTCAAAAAAACACTCGCAGGGCAGTAAAATGTGCACGCAGATAAATACCATTATAATTATATATAATATAGTAATATAATTATTTAAACATGATAACCGAGCCAGCTGGTTACGCCGTCGTTCAGACGTGTTGGGGTGTGAGGGTCGACCCTTAGACAGAGAGACGCGTTGAAAGAAGAGGTGCTGTGTTTCAGCTTAACACTCCCTGGAGGCAGCGCGTGTTTCCGTTGAAACACGTCAGAAATGTGCGGAATGCGAGCTTCAGCACACTTTCACCGTCAGTGCACATTTGTTGGTTCAAACGCATGTTGTTTGTGTCAAACCGTTTCACGGCCTTAACCCTTCACAGATAACCCTGCCTTATCATATTGCTATTAAAAAATATATATCTATATATAGAAATGGAAGCATTACCTTTAGCTAAACTGCTGTATTTTACATAATGCATCATAGCTTGTTAAGTGCTGTGGTTAAGAAGGTCCCAAGTTACCGTGGTAACTACCAGGTCATTTTTAATGAAAATATGTCTTAGTCCAAGATGTCTGTGTGAACTAGGCAACACTACTTCAGCATGTTTTCACTAATGACACACGTACACAGACATTGTTATGCTCATTGTTTATTCACGTCTGTAGCATAAATGTGCTGCATTATGAACACGCATTATTGCACGAGCTGTCGTTGCTTAATATGTATGTTCTGCATCTTGTACTTCTGTACTTCGATTTAGTGTAGATGTATCTCAGAACAAAACAAACAAACTAATCCCTGCTTCAAGTGAAAAAGCAAATGTGCATTTCATTTTTAAATGAGGGTATTTGCTTGAGAGGCCTTTGGCATTTGTTGTAAGTTGAATGTTTTTAATTGAGATTCCTGGGTGTCTGCCTAGTCTGCAGGCTCTGTAGCCTGAGGCCGCCCACAGGTTGTCCTTCTACCTTGATACTTCCCTCATCTCTCTCTCCCTCTCTGATGCCTCATTGGCTGAGTCTGTTCTGACTTGCCTGGACAGGAATGCACCTCCCTTCCATCGTACTTTCATGTTCATGCAATTTGACGATGAGGAGTGCCATCATTTTGCAGCATAAATATTTCATTCCCCCATTTGGATGCAGATTTGAAATGTCACACCCAGAATACAAATGGGCTGCTGCTCCCACGGAAAATAAGGGAGGCCGTGTAAAAAATATGATTGGTGTGAGCTCAAGACAAATATGGTGCAACAAGATTAGGTCTTATTGAAAACCACTGTCTCTGTGAAGAGCAAAATGAGAAACAATGCAGCCTGAATCATTGAATATAATTCAACAGATTTAAACAATCGGCCGCGGCTGGGAGATACAATTAACCAAATTTCAGATATTTCTCCGAGCCGTATTGCAGTTATTCTTTTTACTTCGGTCTTGATCAAAATGGATCAAACAAAACCAAATAAAGAGAGCTCGAGAGTTAACCGTTTTCAGGCAGTTTCAGTGAACACTTCACTTCAACACTGCTCTCATACGGCGGTTACAGTGACAACACCCCATGAAAACCTGAGGTTTCCCTTCAGGTAAACAGACGTTGGCTCTGTCGCTGCTGTTTGAAATGTTACGGCATTTGTAGAGTTTGGGTGAAATGCTTAAAATATCTTAAACAGCTCCTGAATGGAGCAGCGTGTACTTATTCTCAACGCGTAAAACGTTGCGTTGCTGAAGGAATGTGAGCTGGATAATTCTCCCATTCATGCGTGAGACAGGGGGTCTGTCAGTACCCTGTGTTTATGTACTTCTCTCGCTGACATGGAGCAATGGGACGTGCAGTAATAACAGTGGAGGGATGGCATCGCAGCGGGAATCATCTAAAACGCTTAGCTTTGCTGCAACGTCGGGCCCTATTTGAATATTACTGGAGCGTGAACTGCTTGTCGGGCCGTCGCCGCTGAGCGCGACACGCAGACATCAGCTCTTCGTTTGTCCAAACCATCAAGGAGCTCATCGTCTCCTACTGTTGCCATGGGGATCAAACACATCAAGATGCAAAAAGAGGCATGGTTTCATCAGGCCCCGCTGCACTTTTAGCAACACATTTTTCTACCGTGACTGCGCTCTTTTAGTGAGAGTACAAACACAAAAGCTCCCAAAACACCCCCCCACCCTTTTTCTTTTATAATGGTGCCTGCAGCTTCATCAGTGAATAAGTCTGGGCATGCTTTCAGTTCAAAATACCTGTCTGGTTTTTCCCCAAGCCTATACTTCTAACGAAAACGGTGCACATTCCAGGTGGGTAGAGGTGCTGATTAGACCTGGGTTGCTCTGAATGAAAGCGCGTGGGGCTTCTGTGTCCGAGTTGTGGGAGGGGGGTCGGGGGCAGGAGGAGCAGCCAGGTTAACACTTATGCATTGACAAAGGCGAGACGGACACGAACGACACCCTTTGATTAGCGAGTCCATTAGTTAACCCGGTCACACAACAAAACAGACATGGAGCACTTGGGTCGAATGGTTGTTTGAGGGCGAGGATTCGGGCTCCTGTGTGTTTCCGTCACGCACACACCTGCAGCTCGAGGTCTGATTTTCCAAGACGTATAATAAAGCAAAGGTTATTCAAAGTAAACACAACCTGAATCATTGTTTTAAAAATACACAGATTCACGGATGGATTGATTTCGTTATTTTCTTCTGCTGACCTTAAAGGGCAGCGTTTCTGCACGGGAAAAGCATAAATATAGCGTGATGGAACACAAAGTGTACAGAGCTTGTTCCAATGAGACTCAAACTGGGGTTGGTTTATACTTGTGCTGCCGTATGTGATGCTGCAGCTGGTACAATGAGTGGTATCTGCGGTCTGGAGGCCTGTGCTTTGGGTGTCTTTGAACAAGGGGAGGGGAGGAGGGAATTTGAATGTTGCACGTACATAAATTAATCAACAATTTCCGCCCCATGTGTCTTTAGGGGAAAAATGAGTACAGAGAATGAGGAAATCCACGCTTTGACGTCTCTGTTTGTCTATTGCTTTGTTTGCTGAATTATGATTTGAGAATTCAGAGAACGCTCAATTACATTAAAAGTGACTCCTAATAATTCAAATGTTAATATGAAGAAGGATTTGCATATACAAAAATAACTCCTCTCAGATCTTACTTTTGACCCACAGTGTTTGGTGTTGTGCGTATGTTTTGCATTCGTTCAAAATCCGGCCCCTCCCTGCATGGTTGTGCAGTGGGATTGTTTATTTCTGCCTTGCAACGTAACTGGAGTGAAAGCATAATAAAATAACACATAATTGCTCTGATTCACTTGTTTGTCCTCGCCGTGGGGCTCTCCCGCCTTCATTCACTTCATGGGTAGCTCATCAGAATGGGGAAAAAGGAGGAGCCAACTTTGGATGCTGGGTGTTTACACGCCGCTACTCAGTTTACCTTCTTAAAACAAAAAGAACCTTGTAATTACTACGACTGTTGACAACCTCAGGAAGATGTTTCTACAAAGGACGGCAGCAGCTTGTAATAAAAAAAGCTCCCCGCTGTCTCCTAAGCTCAAGGCTTGGTTGTGAACTTTTAGAAGGCTGAGGCTGAAACTAAAACCTTTATGGAGTTATTTTCCTCAAAGAGCTCCCATCCCGTTCTATCTCGAGTAGCAGGATTATCTGAGCTAAGCCAAAAAGAGCACATTACCGGTGACACCAAACTCTTTGTGGCTCAGTGACATTTTTTTGTGGCTGCTCCACAACAACCTCAGAAAAAAAACATTTTTGTGATCCGACGTCATTATCAATCCAGTCATCTGTAGTGTGACAACAATGTTCCATCTTCATATCACAATCCACATATTCAGCCGAGCTGTTTTTTTGAAACGTCTGAAATATAGTTTTTTCTCTTCAAAACTTTAATATTGGCTTG